TTCAAAATTTTTCGCTTAGAAGATATCACTGGATCTGAATTAATTATAAGGCATGCATTAAATCAGTATTGTGCTTATTCTTGATGTTTTGCGAGCATGATTTTCCCTAAAATTTTTATATTCTTTATTACAAGCTTCTTGCGCTTCTTTAGAAAGTAGTTCTATTGGTAGAATTGCATATTTTGAAAAATGTTATACATACTGGGAGGCATGCGATACTAATAATACAATTATTCAATGTACAATTCCGCTGTCTCTTTACAATATTGATCAAAAGACTCAAAATTAATTTCATGTCTACTAGATATCGTAATAATATCAAAATATATCACCTAATTTTTAATCAAATTTAAATTAACACCTGTTATTTTTGCCGACATTTCTGCATTTAAAAAAATCCTTATTGCCACATTCCTAGTATTAAAAGTTCCTTGACCTTGTACTATTTTATCAATTTTTATCCCCATATCATTCCAAAATGATTGTTGAATATGTTTTTTTTTTTGTCGTAAATTTTTTTCTTTTTGTTCTTTAGACATATAAGTGATTGATAGGTGAATATTTAATTTATACGAAATATTTAAAATGCATTTCAAAAAATTAATCCAAGCATGCAACGTAAAAAACCCGTATTTTAAATTATCCTCATTAATTTCAAATGTTTGTATATTTTTCAAATCATTCGTATTTCTTGGTTCACGGTTACAAATACAACAGTTTTTACTTAAAGTATCTGTTAAATTATTTACAACTTTTCCATCTACCATTGTCACAACCAATTAGCAATTAATAGGAACATAAATATTATTTATCACAATTTCATTGGGGACTAAAGATTTTATTTCATCTTCAATCGACTTTACTTCTTTACAAACATTATATTTTGTTTCCTTTTTATATAAAAATTGTATAGGTCTACAGTAACGTGTTGATGATGGTGTTAGATTTTTTCATAATATATCATTTGTGGAATCTATCATGACAAAAGTCAACCACAAAGGAACCAGAGAAAGTAAAAACATGTTCGCATCAGTATATTCTATTTCTTGTTCATAGTCATCAGAATCGTTATCTCCATATTAGGCAATCGATCATTTTGAATAAAATTTGTATTTTGATTATACGCTTGGTGATATTCGGTTTGACCTGAACTTTCATCATATCCCCATTTAAAAATGAACTCAGCCTTTACATATTTTTCAAAAAAAATAAAATCCTTAGCCAAATCAAAAGTTTCGAAGACTCTTCTAGCCGTATGGTCCAATAAACTTTGGAGAGGTATAGACGCACCAAATTCATATATTTCTATACCCTCAGGATAATATAATTATTTTGCTTCTCGTATTCGATCATATGAAAGATACACGTTTACTCCATGCTCTTTTAAACTTAATCGAGTTTGATTATATACATTTTTGTCATACGACAATTAACCATATGAGCCAGTGCTTCATCTACAGTAAATGGTATTATATTATTTTTTCTAATGATTTACGAAAAGTTTTCCTAATTTTTGCAAGACGACTTGGAGAATATTCAGTTGACTCTTTTAATAAATCGGCTGCTGCATGTTTTTACCTTCTTTAAAAAGTGATACTCTTGTTGCCCGAAGTAATCTATCTGGTAATATTGTCTCCACTAGCAGTTTAACTTTTCGAATTTTAGCTCTTTCAGATAAATGTGAAAATGGCTTTAATGGACGACCACGAAGATCAGCCGTTTTTTCCATTTTTTGTCAAATCAAATTTAGTATCTAACCAACCCTCGTATTTAGAAATAAATGTATTTGCAATACGATTAACAGCTAATCATTTACAATTTAACGTAGTAGTAAACGCTAAAATTTTGGCACTCAATGTGGCTTCATAATTTTCATCAATAGGATATTTAATAGTTTTTTTAATATAATCACATAAAAATGAACGACTATTGATGGAGCACGGATTTAACTGTCGTTCCCGACCTCTCAACACATTGAATAAATCACGGGATGAAATATTATCTATAAAAATAACCATATATATTATCAGATAAACAACTTTGGGCAGATCATATTTTAAAATTGACTAAATAACAAGTTTACTTAAACTATGTGATAAAAATCAAAACGCTAATTTACGCTTTTTTTAAAAAAGTACGTTTAATTATAAAATAAGTTCTTTTTTTTGGTATTTTGAAATTACAGTTATAATATACAGTCGCGGTAAAACTTTAATTTCTCCCACTGTGCAGCGCACAAAAACTCGAAATCAACTGTAATACGACGGGCGAGCCGGCCCAACATTTTAAGGAGGTTTCGCACAAAATGAAAACCGTGACGAAAAAAAAATGTTGTAAAATAATGCAATTACTGATGATGATATTCTGAAACTCGCAAATTTATATGCAAAACGGCAATAGTAAAGTTTTTAAATTATTTCTACGCAAAAAGAAAACAAGTCAACTCATTTATTACGGTTCAGTAGCTATACCTATTATTCTCACGAAACGTTTTAAATTTACTAATCGCGAATCGTGGTTATTTATATTCGCATGACAATTTTAATTTACATTTGTGTGTTTTAAAGTATATTAAACCAAAATCTATATACTGCAGTTTTTTTTTTGGAATATTATACTTTTGATGATTTCCACACTTTTTAGTGCATTTTAATAAAATACTTTTTATAATAAATAATCAATGCCTATTTACAGTGCATACATTATATTAATCGGTGCACTTGACTTCTATACAATCAAAACCGAACCCTACACAAAAATTAAAGACATTTAAATTAAATGCGTAAAAGTTTTTTTTTCAAAACAATAACATTTCGTGATCCAAGAAAAATAACTTTTAACTGTATATTGTATATTATACGCAGTACATATTATCATCACATTATATTATATCACTTCAATGGTTTACAACCCTCTTGAAATAATTATTGATACCCGGGCGAACACCATCGCTCTTAACCATAATTACATACGCAATATATACGAGTACTCGCCCACACACATTTTCGAGACACGTCCCTAAGCGTGGTGTTACTGCAAAACATACACAATTTAACTTTCATAATACACACACAGTTTATATCTATATAATGTATCGGTGACGTATTCAATGAGGGGGAAGTTATCGAGTAAATATCGTTTAGTAAAAACTAGAAATATATGGAATTCTTGTAAAATTAAATTTTATTGCCACGATATGTTCTTAAATAGTTATGAGTATCTACTGTGATCACTGGTCTTTGCCACCTGGTCGATGAATAATTACATTACGATTATTTGAAAATATGGTCAACGCAATATTACTTCCAATGATTACTAAGTTAGTTTTTGATTCGAACCGAAGCCAGGACTGTACATAAGTTTTACGATAATGTATTCGTATATTAACTCTAACGGTGAAAAGTTTTTCCTGAAAGTATAAAAGGTTCTGTTGTACAGTGACCAGTAGCGTAACTATAGAGCTAACATCTTGAGAATGGTACAATTAAGTAAACACTCACATAGTTGTACAGAGCTCCACCACCTTCCAACAATACACATGGACAATATTTGTTATAAACTATTGTAATGTTTATAAAGCTTTTATTAAAAAAAAAAAAATTATCAACTCATTTTATGTTAAATGTTTAACACGTAATTTTCTATCAATTTTAATGAATGTTTCAATATTTTTTCTGATTCAATTACATTAGCCAAAACTCTTTCAATATTTATAGCACTTAAGTTGGTAAAACACTCCTATACCATACTACTCTCAAACTAATTGTTTAGTGCTCGTATTGGAAAAAGACTGTTTTAACACGTTGTTGAACTAACAAGTAACAAGATGGTTAATGCAACATGCATTAATTTATAAAGGTTAGAGAATACTTTTTTCTTTATAATTTATTTTAATGTGATTGGTACTGTTTTTTAAACAATTTTTTCCTACAAACATTTCTGCTTTTAAGTATTCAGCGTGTTAGAATTTATTGCATCCCCAAATCATAGAAAGTTAAATAATTTACTAAAATCTACAACTATAAAAAGGTGTTAACATTGTTTAATTGCTTATTTATATAATCTAGTATGTGCCTAATAATTATGAATAAAATATTGACTATATTTATAATTTATATTACAAAATTATCAACAACTTTAGCCATCTAAAGATTTTCTTTTAAATTGTTAAGTATTGTATACTTTTAAATATTTGCTTATCACGACGTTTAGAACACGCGTTTACGCAGCTCTTTTTAGAGGTCATCATTTATCACCAAGACTATCGATAATCGCATCGTTTATGTATAAGATACGCCGCGGCATTGCTGTTTGCCGAGACTGGAAGTCGATCGGTCATCGGTGACATTACAACGATATTCCAATATTCTCTACATCGTAATTATAATAATACATATAATGATCGGAACGCAAGATTTCGAACAAACGGACTGATGATAAATTCTTTAGGGATAAAATTACATTGTCAAAACTATGGGTATTTCAAAGTACGACGACATGAAGCTTGGGGCGCTGAAAGTCTAATTGGAGGGGAGTGTACGTACCTACGTTTCACAACAGTGTGAATAATTGTATTCGTATTATCTTTTACGGTAAAAATTGTTTACTGAAAGCATATTATAGAACATACCGCCGTTATAGGGCCGTGTTTCGATTTTCGATTTCATCAACAACATCGAAAACACGAATTCGAGTGGTTTTTTTTTTTATACATCGAATAAAAATTAATTTCGTTTGCGTTTGTGTTTTTACTGAGCGCGAGACACGTTCAATAGCAAATAGATCCCATCAAACTCGCGCGGTTGAGCAAAGGTTAAACGAACTGTTTCGCGTCGTTTGCAGGCGTGTCACCGACTGAATTTCTCGTTATAAAAATATATGTTATGTCTTCGCCATAAACACAATACTTTATCGGTACACACACAGCGATGATATTATATTATCGCGTCGTCACGATATCACCGCAGCTATAGTGGCGATAACAGAAAAAACAAACTGACCGACGCCGTAGTCGCAAGTGGGTCCCAGGAACAGGTCGACCCGGCCGTTGATGATCAGCTCGAAACCGGAGCGCATGGCCTCGATGTCCTCGCACTTGTCGTCCTTTTGCATGAACCTGAACGTCACGTCCGTCTCCCGGAGTATGCCCCTGGCGTACAGGTCGCGGACGGCGATGTCCAGCACGGGCATCACCTTGGACAGCGTGATGATGAACTTCGGGTCGGCGGGCAGTATGACGGCCGCGCGGATCTCCACCGGCCGCAGCAGCCCGACGGCGGTCGACCCGGCGGCGCACGTCGACGACAACAACAACAATAACAACAACGACAACGACGACAACGACGACCACGACGACCACGACGACGACGACGACGACGACGACGACGACGACCACGACGACGACGCGGACGGGGACGGGGACGGGGACGGTATGAACGGTATGGACGGCACGACGGGGACCGCGATCGGCCCGCGGGTCATGGTCGGCGGCAGACGTTTTCGTCGATGCGTCTGTTCGCGGACTGCCAAGACGGCGGACGGAGAAGCGACAGGAGCAAAACACACACGACAGTACGCGGAATACGCGGTGCTCGACGTGGGCGCATATATCGTCGTCATTATTATTATTGTTTGTTTGAACACTCGAAACCGTGTCGTTTGTTTGTGCCCGTGTGTGCGCGTGTACGAGTGTGTGCGTGTGTACGAATGTGTGTGCGCGCGTGTGTGCGCGCGTGTACGAATGTGTGTGGTGTGTGCGGTGTGCGCGTGTGTGTGCGGGTCGGCGTAAGCTATATAACCAAACCTGTCACGAGCACCCGGTCGACTGTAATATTATGTATCGTGTGCGCGACTCTCGACGAATTGATAAATCATTATTATTGCCAAACGACGACAATTTTATTTGATATAGATAACGCGACCGGCGACGACTCTGTAGTGGCTCTAAGCCCGTACCTATATGGGTGTAATGCGACAATAATAATAATAACACACATCATCGTCGCCGCGACGATGAACGTGTACAATAAAAAATTAAAAAAATAAATTTAAAAAAAATCGCACGACAACGCGCGACCATCGCTTCGACGCTGTGCGGGCGTGCGGGGTGGTTTTCGCGTGTCTTTATCGTTTTTCGCTAGTTCGTCGGCGAAACGCCACGAAAGACTAAAAAAAAAAAACCGAGAAAACCGAGAAAACCGTCGTCGGACGGCGGCGTGTCAATAATAATTGAAACGAGAATGCCACACCCGTATTTTTCGTCTGTTATATAACACGCGAATAATACGTATTGTGATAATAATATTGTAATGCCGATGGGTAAGCGGTATACGTTTTACGACGTTATAAGTGTGCGCAGCGCGAACGATTTTCAGTACGGTGCAGCTTTTACTTTCGTCGTGCACGGGTAGTGGTTTTAGTACTGCACTTCACGATGCTACAGTGAATACAGTATTGTCAGTACGAAAGGTTACCATATTTCCCGTGTTCCGGTTTTTTCGCAATACCTGTATTTCAATTTTTGACCGACTCGTGAGTAAAAATATGACGAGTTTATCGCCTGTAGAAAATATTTCAGTTTAAAATGTTCTCGATTCGCTTGAAAACTAAAACAGATTGTTTCTTACCTTTAAGGCTTAAAGTTTATCCTATGAGATTTCGTGACACTAATATTAATACTAACAAATCTAATCGAATCCTGTCGACAACCACCTTGATAATGATGACCGCGTGACGACGATAAAAAAATATAAATCGGAAAAGGCGGGGCAGAACCGTACTACCAACTTCTAAGCATTGTAAGACTTACAACATTTAAGGATTAGAAATTGAATTGCGAAATTATATTACAAATGTTATTAGTTTCAATGATATTAAAGCATTTTTTTTTAAACTTTAATGTTAACTTAAAAAAAAATCTAAATTTAAAAATACAATTTTGTTCCATAAGTAAGATAAAACCGTAATAGTCTTTGGGCAAGACCGTTTAATGGTTTAATGATCTAAAATAGTAGGTATGTAATCGGTGATACATAATACCGCCTTGATCAAACATTTTTAAGGACACAAATTATAGTAAATAAATTCATCTTTTATAAAATAATTATGTCGTCCATTTATCTATTATATACAAGCATCGTGGTCCGTGAGCATTTTCACGCAGAGGGAGAGAGAGGAGATTTATTTTAGGTAGGTACTATTAGAGTGGTTTTCATACTTAGCTGATATTTAGTGTTGATAAATATTTATTTTTTGACTCATTACCATTATAAACAGCCTGTATAATTAACCATAGACTCACTTTGTAATACATTTTAATATCAGCCCTTCCCAACAAAAAATCCTAAGAACGCCACTGAGTAAAGCATTTTGCATTTTTATCATAACTAAATAAAATAATAACTCAATATAAATGTTACCTCTCGCTTTATTGTTAACACGTCGAATACCACGATCGACACAAAGACAAATGATATATTATGCATCGTTACAGGTCTATTACTTAAACTTAATCGGTTTTAGACGCACAATTTCGATTCTTACAAGTGGTTTTCAGTAGGATATCGTGATTTTAATGATATATCTTAATTTGGCTTAACTTTTTTTAATGGGTATTAATTATTTTTCTCCGAAAGACGACAACGGCGGTGCTATTTCCGAAAATAAAATAATATTTTAATATTATTTGTGTTGTTATTATACTTATTTTCTGACAAATATATTAATTTATTTTTATAATATACATGAGTATCTTGCTTGGATGTATAATAACAATAAGTGTGTATTCATGTTCGAGGACTGTGGTACATTCTATATATACATTTTTACATACCGTTTATTACACATTTACGTCGATACCCATAGAGTAGCAATAAATTATTGATTATCTTTAAAACAAATAACTTGATAAATTATAACATATTATTATATTCGTATGGAAAATAATGATTTTAATAATATTTATTTAACAATTTCACGGTGAATTTCACAGGAACCGAATTCGACACATACATAGCGATCTTCGTCGTCGCAGCTCAGTTTTAGCGCGGAAACTTACTATCTATACATCATAAAGACAATTTCACTCGACATGTTAACAACATTTTTTAGGGTAGATGAGTCCGTAGACCGTATGGCATACGCTTTTGCCCCACAATAGGTGACTTTAAATTAATAGTAATTAAGTAAAAATTATAAGCAATATTCCTCCAAATTAAATCATAAAAATAATCTGTACTTACTTTTTTTGTAATTTGACACAGTTTTCTTTTACATCAAACAAAATGAAGAATAAAAAATGTTTATATTATATAAATAACCATCAATCATTTTTTTTCTACCTTGACTCAATGTTCAAAAAACGATTTTCAATTTTGTCTCTTGTACGAACTACCCCGCTTTCCACTATATAGATAACATATAGTAAACGATTAACGAATTATGATATTATTAGTAGGTACCAATATTACAGTATCGTTTAATGTCAGTAAAGTATTGGCCTTATGACTAAATTTTTTAGCATTTTCCTCACCTTTATCGTTAGTATTAATTCAATGCATATTTAAAAAAACGGATCAGTGGATAACGCTCTGCTATACCTACAGCTTGTACATTATGTTTTTATTAAAAATGTTATGGATGTCACTGTAATAGATATGTTAAAATTGAATTCAATAATATAAAATTATTGTTCACAAAAAATGATTATGAGCGAACAGGGTCTATAATATTGCGAAGTGTATTTGATGATATTATTGTGACCAAAATAATTTTACTATTATAGGTATTAGTATACCTCAGTAAGTTAAAACCATTTTTGCCGAAAAAATTGCATTTGAAAATTTCACAGAGTTATAAAATATTATAATACTAGTATACAGTCTAAAAGGTGTTAGTTGTGTACCACAGTGAGTGAGCTTTGGGTCTACATAAAATAATTCCTTAACTAACACGAAGAATAAATAATGATTTATATTTTAGTGACGGACATAGGCCTTTTAGGAAATTTACCAGCCTTGAAGGTCCTAACTTTTAGCGGCTCCAAGGCCCTGCAGAAAGACAATATGGTTTGTATTCTCATGAATTTTACAACTATAATCTATAAAAAAAGTTATCCACCATTTTAATTATTGGTAAATGAAAGTTTCTAAATATTGTTTTTCGCACCATATGTTAAACAGTTTCTAAGTCTGGATAATAATTTCTGAATGAAATAATATAGTCTAGCAATCATACCTGACCATATTATATTCATGGTACCTATCATAAATAATAACAAAAATTAATATTATACAACAGGTGGCGAAGGAAAACTTTAAACTTGTATACCTATAATAAATAATGGTAACCTAGTGCTAAAATTAATTTGATAGTTTTTGCGGACACGCAATGACAATCTTTGTAGAGAGTAACTATTATTTAAAAAAATACATTACATATACCTATTACATATTCAACAAATTTGTTTCACTATTTTGTTGGTTCGTAAATGGTTTTGCACGATTTGTCATTTGCAGTTTAATTTGCATGTGTGGCTTTTTAAACATTTTCCCTATGATAAAAAAAGTACGTATTATTATAATTATACTTACTGTATACAGTGTGCAGCTATCTAAACGCATGATTTGGGAATGCGTTCTTTATCCAGATCCCCGTCCACGAAATAAAATCCTGATTTACATTACTGATATACGTACCTACGTTATACCTTTAAAAGTACCGGGAAACGATGAATTTTCATACACTTTTACGTTTACGCATTCCTCATCATGATTTTATAACCAAAAATCAATAATCGGAACACGGTAACTAACGGTGTGAGTATAAACGGCGTCGTAGTGGAAACAACAGGTCAGATTTTCAAAAGTTCAAGTAGCTTGACGAGTAAGGACGATGACTTGCCGAATGTCATATCATAAAATATTATCTTAGTATAATTATTAATAGTACTATAATTATAATATTAGGTATATTGTATCGAACGAATATATTAATAATAGTCGTAGTTATTCTTTGGAAAGTTGTCGGTCTGTATGATATTTTGCAACGGCGAGGTTGATTAAAAAATGAATTACTATAATATCATCATACCCAAAAAATGTAGGTACCTATACATTGCGTTGTGAAATTTACCTTGACATAAAAAAACATACGCTCTTAACAACATACTATACATTTTTCGTGCAATCATCGGTTCGTGATAAAAAAAAATCTTCCAGATGTTTTATAATTATGCTTTTATTTTACTTTGCAGTGTGCTTTATACTTCATATGCATGCTTTTTTTATTCTGTCGATATTCAACGGTAACTCTATCTTGCTTTTCCTTTCTCAGTTCATAGATATAATATTATATTATTTATTTATTTATTTTACAGGCTGGACCCATTTTAGTATAAGGATTCAGATTTATACACATAAATGTACTTACAATATGCGATTGAAGATAAAAATTATTTTAAATTATATTTTAACAATGAACAGTTTTGAGAAAATATTTTACAATTTTAAATTTTATTTTTGAATTTTTACTTATATTTTTATTTTAATTTGTTGAAAAATATAATAATTTAATAATAAATATATTAAATGTAAACATTGATATCCATATTAATAAAAACCCAAATTCATCTTTAAAAAAATATTGTTTTTTCAGATATTTGGTAATTAATGACGCATAAATTCATGTTTTTAATTATATTAATAAATATAATATTATAGTTATAGATATCAAAAAAATGATAGTTCATGAAAATGTATCTCATCAATATGCATAAATTTTTAAGAAAAAAAATTGTTATATATCTGCCTTTAAATACTCAGATATTGTAAAATAACTAGTCTCCAATATTAATTATAATGAAACCAAATACGATGAAAATTTCCTATCTTAAATGAAAATCACTACTTTTCCATATTTAAAAATCCAAGTATAAATGCTACCCCTCTCTTAATAATAATAGTTTCATACCTGTTCCATAACCATCCTACACTTCCCCTAATAATTGTTACTTAAACAACCAAGCTTACATTATTGAAAAAAATTCAAATAATTTCTCTTGGGCCCACTAACCCTATCTCTCAAATTATCGAAAACGCTCATCAACTATTGTCTATTCTTCGTTATTTTTTCCTTTCTCTCCTTCTCCCTCCAATATTAAATTGAATCTTCCTTAAACTCTCTCTTAGCTATTCTTAACCCAATTGTATCACTTAAATAAATACATTTCAATACACTATACTGTAATATGGTAATAAGCAAAATTAAAAAGAACGATTCCTTGTAACAATAATAATAAAAATCTTTCAAACAATATGAATATCTCATAATAGAACGTGGGAAATCTTTGAGCTCATTTCTCTTATCTATAGAATTCTCTTAATAACCAAAAATCTTCTCTAACAATCCCTCCGAAATACGATTTATACATTTTCGTTCACTGAATATACCATAATTTAGAGTGTTCAGATTCTATCGACCAGATGAGTAAGGTGGCGTTCTTTTGATATTGTCACAGGGAATAAATTTATTGACCATAAAATTGTTATCATAGGAACAAGGTTCTTGCAAACGATCTCAAATTACCTATACGAATATTTCCTACTAAATCCCTTGCAGAACAAACATTTCAGCCAACCTTTGGCAAACTTTATTTAACTTGATATCTCGCAATTCAATAACCTGAAGTGATTTAAACGCTTTTCATCCTGCCTGAGCATTAAAGATGCATCTCGTCACATCAGTCTTATATATGACATTATAAACTCTCTAGGACTGTGTAATCTAAATTATAGTAGTTCTAATCATATCGGACGTTCCAACTTCACTGACTCAGGCCTATGGACCATCAACGCATAATCCAAGTTAATGACAGCGATTTTTTTTCTTCATTAATTAAATAAATATTAAATTCATAACACCATCAACATTTTCAATAAAATATACTCTGTTTTTAAACAAAAAACTAAAAGTAGGTACTTAAATGTTCACTATTTAAAAAATCTCATGAGTACATAAGTCATAGACTACGACAATTGACTATTTAATTGAATAGAAAATAGTTTTTTAAAACGTATTATTTTCAAATGCACTTCTCATCCAATCATCAATAATTATATAATTTATTATTTGTGTTAAATGTTTAACTTTACTTATTTAACTAAATAAAACAAAAAGTGGTTTTACCGAAGAACGTTCGATTGTCAATGTACAATGTACACATTGTACACAATAGCAATAAAACAATGTGCCGTAGTTAATAATAGTTAATTTATTAGTCATGTATGGAAGATTTGTTATAAGATACTGAAATACTAATACCTTAGAATTATATTTATTTTTTTCAAACAAAATAGTATCACATAATTACATTATACAAATTACAATATCATATATAAACATTTATTTGCATATTTTTAAAATAATACTTTATAACCAAATATTAATCTCTATTTTGAACAGTGCGTTGAATAATTATAACTTTGAACACTTTACGATATGTGTTAACGGTTAGTCACAAAATACACGGATTGATTTTTTTGAGTTACATCACGCAATGTTAATATACGCAACACGCGAAATATAATAGATTATTAACATTAATAAGTGGTAATTTATAAAGCAAGTTATATTAACGAGAACGCGCGACACAAAATCTATTCAACTCGAAACAACGTTATAGCCTAAATAAACTATAACCTATATTTTATAAGTCTCGGCGTAAAAAATACTTCACCCTACGGTTAAAAAACAAAACAAACTCCGAGCGTTTTTTTTTTTTTTTTTAATATTACGAGTATTTTTTAAACGCCAACACGAAAAATTTTAACATGCGTTTCAGACATCCGTGAAATATAATATTAATAATAACGATACAAAAAAAAAAAAAAACAAAATTAATAACAACGATTCGTCGACCGAACGAATAAAAGTTTACCGTAGCCGGAATAACGCATAACCAAACGAATAATAATAATATATAACAAACCGTAGTACGTAATGCAACCACACGTCGATTATTGTAGTCAAGTTCCGGATTTTATTTTTATCTTCTTTCTACACTTCTACAGTAAAAGTCAAGGCCCACACCGGTCATTATATTGTCAACGTTGTGGTGACGGCGTAAAAATGTGCGAGAACGGCCGTCTCGCGCGAGGTGCACGGTGTGTGCACGCTGCACGCACGACGCACATTGCAATAACGAACAAGCGTAACATTACCTACGTTATTATTATTATCATCATCGGCCGGCTGCTAAATATAATAATATTATAACATCGAGCGTGTAATGTACATAATAATATGATGATAAACGAACGGTGACGGTCATTGTAAACTCATAAAATCGTAATATTGTACTTATCTTATCCGCTCGTTGTTGGAGTGTCGATATGATTATCGCTGTTGACTCGCGAATGAGTGCGAAACACATGGACGAGATGTAGAAAAAAAATACAAATACAAATACAAGTACAAATAATAATCGTTAGCGTTATTTTTATACGATAAAAAACACACACACGCGCACACGCACATGAAAGGTTAAAAAATAACAGTTGAAATTCGAACGCTTATATCATTATAATATGATATTATTGTGTACGAAAAATTGAGATCGATACGAAAAACCGAACGCTCGACGACCCCGAACCCATCCACCCACCCGTTCGCGCAAACGACGCCCGCGGATCAACGGTCGCCGGTCGCACCCCCACCTCCACTATCTCCCATCAACCATCCCCCGATCGCACGTCTAACTGTAGTTCGAGTACAGAAACGGACAGTACTTGATGGTGTGCGCGTTGTCGCCGGTGCCGTTGCAGTGCTTGCACCGGAGCGCCCTGAGCTGGGACAAGTGGTGCGCGTGTCGTCCCGACCAGGTGGCCGCCGTACACCTCGCGGTTCGTGGTTCTTGTAGCAGAACGTGCAGTAGTGCTCCACCAGCTTGTTGATCGTGTTGTCGTCGGCGTTCACGCAGTAGAACAGGCGGGACGACCAGCGGACGGCCGTGGTCGGTGACGGCGAACGGCCGTCCGCGGCGGTGGCGTTGTACTGCGCGAATTCGGCCGACGACACCGACCGGCCGCAGTCGGACGGCGACGGTTGGACGGCCACCGGTGTCCAACCCGCGACCAACTGTTGTTGCTGTTTATGCTGTAGTTGCTGTTGTTGCTGTTGTTGCTGTTTATGCTGTAGTTGCAGTTGTTGCTGTTGCTGTTGCTGTTGTTGCTGTAGTTGTTGGTGGTTGTGGTATTGGTGGTTGTGGTGATGGCGTTGGTGGTGGTGGTGGTGGTGATGGTATTGCTGCTGCTGCTGTTGTTGCTGTTGCTGCTGCTGTTGTTGTTGCTGCTGTTGCGGTGACGACGTGGCATCGACACACGTCCAATGCGAAAAGCTCAGTTCGCTGGCCGACGACGACGACAGCGTGCAGTCAGCTGTGGCCGCCGCTACTCCGCCGCCACCGTGCCAGTAACCAAACGAGTTGTTGTTGTTGCTGCTGCTGCTGCTATTGTTGTTATTGTTATTGTTGTTATAGTTGTTTGCAGGCGATCTGCCGTGCACCGCGTGAGCGGCGCTCACCGACGACGAAGACAACGATGACGACGACGACGACGACGACGACAACGACGACGACATGGAACGGTCGGACGCCGCCGGAGACGCTACGGTTATGTTGAGCGACGGACGGCGCTGTGTGCCGGTCGACATGTTCCACTGCGTCCAAGGGTACAGCACGTGTCTTTCCCTCTTCTCGAGCACCTGATTTGAAAAAATGAAAATAAAAATGAAAAAACCACATAACCGTCGTGTTACAATATTATTGCTAAAGCGGCTCAGTGGCGCCATGACGGGATATTTCACGCGAGACCATCAAGACCGTCGATGTCCGCGAGAAGAGACAGTGCCTGTTGAGCTATAAAATGTGATATAATAATATTACAGCGATTCTCAAAAAGGGATGGTCGCCAACAATCTTTTTAGGGTCACCGATATATTATGAAAAATATTCACGCGGTACCTACCTATGCTACGTATAATGTTTACTTTGAAAAAAAATGTATTTTAAATAAACTTATACTATTATTTAAAACGTAAATTCAGTGAATTTACCAAGTACTCATTGTTTTAATCTTATAATACAATATAATAGTCATATTAATTTATCACTACTTTTTAGTGTTGTCGTTATCAAAGGATCACTCAAGATCTTGGCGATAGGGGGTCACGACCTCAAAGAGATTGAGAACCGCTGTAATACAATATACATATTATTTTATTATTACGCATACGGTTTCGTGTCGTACGTTATTCGGGTAGTGACACGAAAGCAGGTGGTCGAACTCTTCTAGACTTCCGGTCCTGTGCAGGCTGGTACCGAATTGATTCCCGAGCTCCAACCCTACGTGCCGAATTGGTTCCCGTTTGAAAAAAATATTTTATTTAGATAAGCCCCAGATTTGTTCCCGTTCAAAAAAGGTATTTTACTAAGTCGAGCCGAATTGGTTCCCGTTTAATTACGCACATTTTCCTTTTCAATTTTACAGGTTTAGAACTGTCAACTTAAAAATAGGCTTGGTTAAAAATGTACGTTAATGTGTGTTATAAAAAAAATTATATAATATATACAATTTTAAATCGTTAATTTGGAAGTCAACTATAGTCATCACTAGGTGTAGGTACAAAATACTGCTAGGTTCTTTTGGAATCCAAACCTGTAATTGTCAATAATCAACAACTTAGTTCCCTTTTCACTAAACATAAACTCTGTAATCACGAAAAATTAAAATTAAAAAACATAAATTAAAATACGAAATGCAAATTACAAATTTATACGATGTGTTATTCCAGACTATACAGACCTCACTGTTCACTTACATTATTGTCATTTGTACACAGGATATAGATGATATACCTACCAATTACCATACATCAATAAAAATACATTTATCTCAATCATTATCTTAATATCACCGATAATTTGCTAAACTTCCGATATACAAATACATTGTCATCTTATTGTATAATGTATATCATACTATAGAGCAGGGGTCGGCAACCTTTTCAATCACACAGGCCATTTTTTTTTTTTTAATGTTCATCAAGGGCCATATTAAAAAAAAAAAAATTACATATTATGATATAATACTTATAATTGTATTGCTATTTATAAAACGGTTAGATTAGATTTTATTTATAAAGGAAAAATAATTATATAATATTGAAAATCATATGAAAAATGTTATTGAACAAAAATAAAACAAAAAAATTAACCTGCACCTTTTTGCGGGCCATCAAAAATTGCTTTGCGGGCTACATGCGGCCCGCGGGCCGTGGGTTGCCGACCCCTGCTATAGAGTCTATATATAGTACAAAAAAATGTAAAATTACCTATACACAAACGGGAACCCATTCGGATCGACTTAATAAAATACCTTTTTCAAACGGGAACAAATTCGGTTACTCCCCCCCCCCGTGCAGTATCCGCGTGTAAAACGGACTCGTGAAATAATTTAAAGTTCGCGCCGCCACTGCTGAGTATGCCGTATGTATACCTCTACTATGCAGAAATCGTTGTGACAGTTTTTACGGCGGAAAGCACCAGCCGCAATAAATCGACGACCGTCACTTTACTATCACGCTTGCGGTCAGTCACTGCAGCTAGAGCAGTAATTTCAATTCTTTTCGATTCCGATGTAATGGGTTACTATACTGATACAGCAGGTAATTTACAAAACCAAAAAAATCGGACATTACTGCTCATGCAGTACTGTTTTTAATGGTATTAAAATGAGATTAAGAGACTGACCGGCTATTACGTACACTCACACTACATTTGGGCACGTAATATAATATCATACATCAAGTTTTATATTTTTATAATTTCTGGTGGCAGAAATAAAAGAGTGATGTTCTAAGGCAGACGTACATAAATAATATAGAAAAAAGTGATGTGACCGTGAACGCGCCATACTATGAATATCAATACAATTTGTAACGAAATTCCTTAATAGCATATTGTAATGCGGTCACACGCATTATAATATTGTTTTGACAGTGTCATTACAATATAACAATAACTGCACCCCGCCCCGTCCCAACATTATTACACATTGCTTTGGCGGCGGTGGGTGTAATATAATTTTTTTTTTTCCTTTAATTTTCAATCAATGGTCGGGCACCCATCCGACGACCCGCATGAAAAAAAAAAATACATTTAAATGCGTTTGACTCGTGTACCTACACCGCAAAAAGTTTCTGACGGGTAATAAATTCATCTCGAGTTGATTTTGTTGATAGACCATTAATACGTGTACATTTTTCAAATAAATCAAACCATAAAGGTACTTAATAATGTTACGTCAGATACTTAACTACTTTTTAAATTTTATTTTTATTCCAACAGTCGATAGGCATAATGTCTATTTTAAAAAAAAATATCCCATCGGTAATTTTTTTATTTCTGAATACGATTGAAAAAAAAATAAAAATAAAATACTGCCATGTAATCGATCAAAAACACGCGTCGTAAGGGTTGTCTGTGATTAATAATTATTAAAATCATTGAAATTTTTTCCACAAATACTGATAAACATTTAATTGTTCAACTGTTTTAAATTGTACAAATACAAATGTATTCCAATTAGATAATGACACTATTAAAGAGGATAATTCTTATTGTAATTAATACCGGCTTTATTACACTATGGCATACATATCCTAGTAAGTTACTAAATAAACTTCAAGTTATTTAGTTTAAAAAAAGATACATAACTGTGTTAAGTACTATAATGTTTTATAATATTTTTTGTTAATGTTTTCAATAATAAAAAAAAAAAAAAACTTAGACAATAATAATCATTTCATAAGTAACAACAAATACTTACGTTTGAAGGAATAGACTTAAGGTATTGTTGATAACTAGTTGGAAGAATCCACGAGACTTTGGTATTTACCCAATCAAATATTTCGTTTGGGCTGATTTCCGAAGGTTTGAATAATTCATCAGCTTGTTTTCTGATGTTCTCGGGAACCGTTAAAATAGCTGGACCAAATTTTTCAGCAACTGTTATTGGTTCATTATACATCCTTAAAAAGTTTTTTGATACTTCATCTTGTTCATCAGTCAACGATATATTCCATGTTAATGATTTCTGGTTATTTTGATTTATACACTTAGACTAAAAAAAAAAAAAAATACATTGATCACTAATGTTAATTTAAAAAAAATAAACTACATTACATTTAACATAATGGAAAATAGTGAAGTTAAAGGTGAAAAAATATTGTGTAACCTGTCATCTATAAGTAGTTATAATAGTAATTTATGATAGGTAATAACAACAAGACCATTGAAAAAGAAAAAAGAAAATAGGTAACCAGAAAAAAACTAATGAAGAAATAAAGTAGGTACCTAACTAGCTAACTTTATTACATGGATGCATTTCTATAAAATATTTTATAATGCTACAATAATTTAAAAACATTCAACGCGTTCAACCTTAATATTCATACATAAATGTGTTCGTTGTTACGTCTATGATAAAAAAATCTATGAAATAAATAAATAAATAACAAATCACGTATAATCAGTAAACGTCTATAACACACAATTAAACTCGTAATTTTCTATAAAACATTTAAAATAATAATGCGCTTTTCGGCATTGTTTAAATACTCATGTGTGTATAATATAATGTGTTCAATAAATGTATATCACAAAGCCTCGAACGACTAATATTCAAACCACAATCTTCCCAAAATGCTTTCTACTAGGTACCACTCGAAAATCCAATTTCAATCCAAGTTTGTCCAACTGAAATATTTAGTCGTATTAACATTTATTCTAAATACACTAGAAATGGGTAAACACTTAACAATATAAGCAGGAACACTGAATAGATTGAAAAAATATATTTTTTATAAAATATGTGTATAAAATGAAGATATGTAAGCAAAAATGCGGGTGTAGTGTATTTACATTTTCTTATTTTTACGTTAGGATAAATAAATAAAATGAAAGTTACTTCTATATAATATAAAAAAACAATAATTAATTTAGTATAAATTTTAAAATTTTAATTAAAAAAACTAGTAAGTTATGATTACCGTGTAGGAAACATTATATTATAATAAAAAAATACTGGGAAGTATAAATTTATTTAAAAGTCAGTAGGTACCTACATTTAATTACATAATCATGTAATGTGTTATAATATGTAAACATAAGATATGTGTTATATTTATGTAAAAAAAAGGCTCACTCCGTAAAAAAATAAATAAATAATAATATATATTTTGGAAATTTCATAGAATTGACCCATAATAATTAACATAATAATATTTCTTTTTACTAGAACTCCAAAACGCCACAAGTTAAATACAATGTAGTACCTACTATTATTGTTTACCATTAACTTTTTTTTTTTTGTACCATTATTTTATTTGTAATTGTTTTAATAGACTCCATAAAATAATCAATAAACTGAATTATGCACAACATTCATATTCACAAAAAAAGATTTTTAAATTTTTAAATTATTTTTTTTTTTCTATCGTATATTATTTCTTATCAAGTTTTACATAATAACTACAGCTAATATGCATATATATATATAATAGTATTACCTAAAACATTAGAAAAATGCTGATTTGCTATCTTTAATCGTCATTTATCTATATAAATGTGAACATAAAACGACATCGTAAACAAATTCACCGCCAAATCAACACGCGTACATTTTATATTATATTTATGGTTGGAGATCAAAGGACATCATTTTTGTACAAAGATTTCAAGATAATAATCTATTGAACATAGTTTTACCGTGTTTATTTATCGTTTTCTGTTTATATATGTTATAAATTAATTTAATTTAATTATAATTAATAATTTATTTTATATTTTAAATTATTAATTAGAGTATTACCATACTGGAAATGTAGTTATAAAATACGGTCATTAAATATACCTACCTCTAAAAAGTAATACTGATTTTTACAATTTTTACTTACAAATGTTCATATAATATTATAAATTTTTTAGTTTTCTTTTAAGACTTACAACATTATAAATATATTACCCATTTAAGATTCTATATTATTAAATATTGAATAATATACCTAACATTAAAACAATTATATATCATTATGGTTACACATATATATACAAGTCTATTCAAAAATAATTGTAAAAGGTAATAGTTACTATAGAATTAGGTGTCATTCACTAAAGATTTCACATTCGTACCTACCCCTATTTGCAATATTTTACTGTATAGGCAATTACCCCACCAATATTTACTTCGCTATACTTAATGGCTACTACATACCAACATACCACTATTGATACTTACTACCTTTTACTACAATAACTAAGCAAAATACAATATTACATTGTAATTTACAACGAATAGAAAATGATAAGCAAAAACGTAAACAATTTTCAATATACTCGTAATTCTAGAGATTTTTTTGACCATTAAAAACTGTAGTACAAGTCGCTAATATGTCATCCAATCGTATTCACTAGCCGTATAAAAAGAGTTATTATTATAATGACTTATTTAAAAGACATATAATTGTATTAAACTAGCACAGCCAAGTATCATAAATAAAAATATACAGAGGAAAGTAATAAACACTAATAATAATAAAAAATAAAGTTATTTATCAAGCACGCTCAATCCTCCTAATATTTAATAAATCATTTATTCAAATTCTGTTTTAAAAGTATCTATTTCAAAAATGATTTGAAACTATAACTAGGTACTTGAAAATAGTATACAATTTAAAGAGTGTGCTGTAGCGATATAAACTTTACATTACATTCTTTTTTATTGAAAATTATTAACCATAATATTATATATTTTTTGAAAATATTGCATTGTACATTATATCATAATAATGGAAAATATAACAAATCTTCAGAACTTTTTACTATCGAAAACCAATAACGGTATTGAAATCTGATAGGGATTACATTATTATGATTTATGACTATTTATGACAATTAACTGTAAGCAACATAATAGATTAAAAAAGGATCAAAATTGTATTCATATAACATAATTAACGCATAAGTACCATGTAAATAATCTTTAAAACATTGAAGTATTATTTTGATGATTATCCAAACACATTGAAAATTTCAACTCATAATACAATTATTATTATTATTATTATTATTATTATTATTATGTTTAGCATTGCAGAACAAATGCATAAACTTTAACTGCTAAAACGTTCAAAGTATTTATCATTTGTACAATAAAAACAAACCATTTAATGAAATCACTTAGGAGGCATTTCTAAAATAAATTAAAATCTTTTGTAATGTCTATGATTTATTGTTTTTCCTATAATTTACTTACCTGCGGTAAAACGGGAGTAACGGCGATCGAATTTCCGTAATATCGTTGGTTGACAACTGCCAACGAGTCGTTATCGATTGACTGGAAACTAATAATATCACTGCTGTCGGACGACGAATTCATAGACAAATTAAAATCGCTCATGACGTTTGGCGACGATGGCCGACGATAATGACGGTTAACACAACGGCGACAGCACTACCGGAATAATCTTCTATTGTTTGTAAATATTACGATAAACGACGTGAATTTATTATACAAACTATATATTTTTGTACGAAAAAAATAATAATTTAATATTATTTTGGGAACAGTCACAAGACGACGAAATGACCACGGCGTTGATAATATTAAAATAATAATATTATAATAAACAACACTATTAATAACAACAGTGGTAAGTTGTAATATTTCATTTTCATATGGTACCGCGCTGACGTGCAAGTGGCGTGGTCTGTTGTATATTTTTTCGTAGACAAAAGTTTATGCGAGTAGGAGGGGTTAAGGGATAATCAAATCAGATCTTGGTTGGGCGAGTTCAACGTCAAAAACATCCGTTGCGGGTGCCGAAGATGAACCGTCTACCGCCGGAGGTTTTCGGACGAGCTCGCCGAAGACAATTTGAAATACGGCGATTGCCGATCACGAGAATTATTAAGATAATAATAAGAACAAAAACAATTAACGAACCCTAAAAATCTAAAAAAAAAATAATGTCACGTCGTCACATGGGTTTTTCTATTTTTCAGCAGTTGTAGCATGCCTCATTGCCTCAACCATCTCGCACATTATTATATTTTACAATCTTATATAATTTTTTTTAAAACCACAGTCCTTAGTCCTTACGCATGGCACTAAGGCAGTTATGTGAGGTTATGTGAAATTTCTATGTATGAAATTCCATCACTACAAAACATAAACGTGCTTGATATTTAAATATTAAATAGGGATTGGGATTAGCTATTAGACTAAGATCGTGTGTAATGAGGTAAATGTTTATTACAAATTTTTTCTTCGTTGTATTTTTAATGGATTCATTCATGTATATTAGGTACTTGATACATTTTGAAATATCTTATAAAAATATATTTTCTGTAAAATATATATGTTACAGGCATAAGTCGAAATCGGGCGAACTTCAGAAAATACTCGAGCAAAACAAGACCATCCCACGATATTTGGGGAACATGTCATATTTCGACGATTGTCTCAGCAAACATAGTTGTGACCAACCGTATTTAGGCCAAACCGCAGTAACTTTTATCATAAGATATTTTACAATTATTAATGACTACAAGAAGTCAATTTATTATATTTTATCTACTCCATAGTCCTTAAATTATAGGTATAATAGGTAGGTATTTTGAGAGCACATGCAACTAACAAAAGTTATCCACCCACCCAATTTGTTTATACATTAATATTGTTATTTGCTTACATACCCACCAACTCATCCATTCACCCACTACCCGCGAAAGCACATACAGTTGCATCACTTATAAACTTATCTGGGCACCACAGATAGCCGATAAATATAACTGTATACATCTCATCTAATAGATATGATATTGTAGACAAAAAGATAATAATATCATTATACATAATTAATCATGTATGTAAGCACCTCAAAAATATATTTTTGTTATATTTTTATAAAGTACCTATTAACTTTTTTAATTCTTAAAATTAACATTATATTTAATATCATTATTTAATTATATTTGAACAACAATATTTATTTTATAATAATTTATATTTATATATTTCACATTAGAGTATTTAAAACGCTACGATTTTACCAAAATAAGGTTGGTCATAATTATGTTTGCCCGGGCAAAAACCGAAATATGACATTTTGTCTAAGTATCGTGGGCAGTTCGCATTTTACCCCTGCAGCCTGCAGGGTATTTCTTAAGTTTGCCCGATCTCAACTTTTACCCGTAAATGTATATATTTAAATGTTTACTTACTATTTGTATTTATAGATTAAAAACGTACTATACCTATATTATTCATTTAGAAACTAACTAATTCATGTTTATATGTATGATTTAAATACATTTATGTATTAGGCAAAACCTCCTGTGGTAATGCAAAGTTTATTATAAATAATTGTGTAGTACGAAAAATATATATTTTATTATTTGATATATATAGCCATATAGCTTAAAAATAATATATATACAATATACATATATATCTAAATTATTAGCTAGGTGCCTTATTATTGATGATTAAATGATTTCTACAATTGTTATAGAAATGTGAAATAAATTTGAATAGTTTACTAGCCATTCGTCACTGATACACCACGAAAATACACGTTTATTTTATTATTATTATTATTATTATTATGGTTTTTTGTACTTTATTTTTATCTTCATAAATATGAGACATTTTAAGGATGATCCTTTAAAAGTTAGAGATTTAACTCGTAAAATAAAAAATATTCATCATAGTACTATTAAAAAGGTCGACGATCTTTAATCCCAAAATAATAATAAAAAGTAGACTTCTTAAAAGCTAAATGTAGTCTTTGTTAATCGTCAATGGGCCAATGACAATAGAAGTTTCAATTAGGTAAGTCGAAAATCATTCTACTGAAATCTGTAATGGTCAACGTAAAGAAAACATATTATTATTTCAGTTTTCGTATACATATAAACTAAAATTTTAAGTGCAATTATATCAAACACCAGACTCTTAGCTACTGATCAACTACCTTAATTATAACACGAATACTTTCCTGATTCAGAAATAATAAAATATATTATGTCTAATACGGTTAGGGGGGGTAGCCAGGGGAGGGTTATGGATGTTGTAACCCCCTTCCCACAATTGATTTTTATTTAATTATTCAGTAAGCATATTTTGAATGGACTTTTTTTTTGCTATACCTACCATCCTTGATATATACCTAAAGCTTAACCCCCTCCCCCATTCAAAAATTCTGACTACGCCACTAAATTTGTAATAATATGTAAATTAATATTTTTTAACTTATATAGATGACTTACAGTTAGGTTTGTTTTTTAATGTTCGTAAATCGTAAACATCTCTTGGGAAATGTTTTCAAAATCAACATTTTGAAATAATGAAACTAATCCTACCGTATAAAATACCGAGATCAATTTTACCTCGATGGATAATCTTTGTTTCGCCGCCGATTTTTGCGATCAACTAGACTAGTAAGCACAGATAGTGACTATTTTTCAAGGATACACAAGAGCAGATTTAAGGCATTGCAAACTGCATAGGCCGCAAAATTGTATAAATTATTTATTTTGTTTTTATCTAATAAACTTACATAATTTTTGATTTATTTTACTATATTTCAACATTTTGAACGATGTATTTGGATTTTGTATTCGTTTATTATTAGTAAAGTAATATTTATTTTTTACCCAGAAATTCATCGATGACGACGACGATTGTGCTTTTGCTTTATTATAGCTTACCTATTTAATTGTTAATAGAATACAAATACAATAATACAATATAATCTATTAGTACGTCGTTTTATACAGATTGTTATCGGTATAAATTCTACTTTCTACTCGCATTCTGTAATATTGTAACGTTTATTTGACAATTGGATTCCAAGGTAAAAGGCTTATCCGTTTATAATTGAATTAGTCCATAGTTGCAGTCCATCTGTCGATTACTATACGCGTAAATTATTAATTTTATAAAGTTTTTCTTGTATACATTTTTACTTCATAAAAATAAATAGTAAATATTTTACTTGAATTAAAAGTGTTATTTTTAAACTTAACAGTTAAATGAAAAAAATATTCCATATTATTGAGAAAATTAGTTTATTTAAGTATATTTAGTGATATAAAAGTTAATTTTTTAGAGTAGAGGCAGTGAATTTCATTTGGCATATAAAAGCGGTAAATTGTTAAATCCCCCCCCCCCCCCCCCGAGGATACATATTATAATAACTGACAGCTATCATATCTACCCTAAATGTATTTATATACTTGTGAGATCTTATTCCAGGTGAACTATTCCCACAATTAGGGGTTTGTGGCCCGAACTCCTCGAGTTCGGCAATGGAAGTCAATAAACGTATGTAGGTATATTAGTGAGCGAGTGAACTATTACTTATAATATTTTAACTAGAAATGTTTCGACTGTAATGAGGGATCCGCGTAGGATCTATGATTTTGTGATCGAAACCAACAGAATACGATAGGTACAAGATAAATTAGCAACCATACGCAGCAGTGATTCTGTGACCCGGCTTCATAGTAGATACCTAGTTTAGTTTATAGCATTGACTTTGACCGTGTTATCACTTATTTGCACGCACCAAACAACAACTACCTTTACACGAATCTTAAAGTACCTACTACCTACCTAACAATTATAATTATTCTATGGATTAAATTTTGAAATTAAGTCCCAGCAATGATGTCGAACTGCACCACCGTTCTTAGTTCGATAAATAGCCTGATTTAGGCGAGTACCTGCATGTGTGACTGTCACACGACCTCATGTATTTTGTTAATTTTTTAGTATTTTGAAAACTAAAATGTTATAACTTGTAACAAGAATATTAAACATAAACATTTGAATGATACAAACTATCAGAGTGTTGATTTAACATCAAGAGAGAATTCTATTTTCAACACACATTACCAATGTCATATCTACCTAACAAACTAATTTTTAGACTTTTCAAAAGCAATACATAATATAATAAGTAAGGTAGATGTTATCAAATATACATCAAATTTATTGGATCTGTATTCTAATGACTTGGATAGAGAAAGATTTGTTTATGAAATGCTACAATTACAAAAGTTAAAAACTTCATTGTTTAATGATAAGACTATGAAATATGAATGATCATAATGTTCAAGATCGGCTTAAATAGGTACCTAAGATCTTAGATCAGTAAGATCGATGAATAGGAAAAATACATTTCCAAACATTAAAACAGTTTTACAAATTTATTTAATAATGCCTTATACAAATTGTAGCAGTGAACGCTCTTTCTCAGCTATAAAACAAGTAAAAATTCGATTGAGATCGTTTTTATCACAAAAATGATTACAAAATCTGTTGATACTTACAGTTGAGCACAAAATAACAAAACAATTAGAATATTATATTATTGATAACTTTGCACAAAGTACTAGAAAAAAATCTATATAATCAAGTGTACTGTGTGTTTGTGTAAGTGTAACATATAAAATAAAGTATATATTTTTAAATTAAATAATTAATAAATTTATTCTTAATCAATGGTCTTCTCCAAAATTTTTGTCGTGTTTCATAAATATTTATATCATGGGATCAAGAACTCATATTATTATGTTTAGTAATTTTTGCCCCTCTCAAAAAAAAAAAAGTTTAAAATGGATTTCTATTTTTTATGTTATAAAAGTCCCTGGCCCAGAAATCTTTAAATCAAGCTCTGACTCGATGAAATACATAAGTTCCATATTTTATTAATTTAAATTTCCCGGGGGCTGAGGAGCATTGCAAAGTAAACTTGTTCCCATTTTTATAGCATCAATTAACTTTCTTATCTTACTAGGTAGGTAATGAACTTTTGCTAATATTTTATTATTGTTAAACAAAATATAAATGCACTCATTGTTGGGTATTACATAATTTAAATATATTAAATTCTTGCTAATGATAAAATTAAAAACTGTTCATTTATTGTTGTCTATCAAATATTTAGTCAAAAATTGTTAGCTATGGTGTAGGGAAGGAGTGGTGTTACAAGAACTGCTCTACTATGTAAAGATTGTCGTTAAGTAGAGTTTCCATAAAGAATCACTTTTTCATGAGAAATGATGCAGGGGTAAACTACCCATGTATGCATTGTAAACTTTAATGTTTTAGTCAATTTAAGTACCTTCCCATATGGCTATGTGTCAACTAAATTATTGAATCAATAAATATTTATTTGCTTACTTTTATTTAAAACACAATTAACTATAAAAAATTATTATTTTAATTAATTTTAACAACATAGTTAAAAAATTGGACTAACATATTAAATGTTATTGATTTAACATATACCCGCTTATTACAGATAAATATTAAATAACTCTTAGCACGTGTTAAGGTATCAATATCGTATACTCGCTATAGGTACCCATTATTAAGACTAACTCAAAATATTATATTGTTATATTTATATGCATACATTTATTAATAGTGAATTATTTAAAGAGAAAAAGGACTTCAGTACTTTAACCCGTTGATTAAATAAATAAATGTTTAAATGTAATAAATCCTATACATACTTCAAAATGGTGATATTTTTTTATAACATGCAATAATTTGTTTTTGGATTAAATATAGTTTCAAGAACTAACATATGTATTAATACAATTTATAAACTGTACTCAGCAATTAATAAACATAGTATTAAAACTATAATTTGTAAATATATGTATGATGGAAGAAATAAAGAATTGATTAATTCAGTATTTATTCTATTTTTGAACTATTTAACTTAACCTCCTAACCATATAATTAGATAATTTATTTGACCATTTTCCTATATATTTTGGCAATATATTTTACAATATATAATAATATAAATCCCATACTTAATGTAGTACACTAGTATAAATATGTATATAAAAATAAACTGTGATCTTATATCATAAATTATTTTAAGAAGATTTAAGTTGAAATTAAATATATATATATATATATATTAATTTATCAATTAATATTTGCAGCACTTATTTTTTGGTATAAAAATACTTAACTATTAAATAGATAAAATATAACTTTAAGAATAAGAGTGAGAAAAAAAATCACTTATAATGATCCATAAAAGATATATGATCTGACTCAGATTATATTACTTAATTTGATTTTTTTTAAATTTTTATTTGAGAAAATCAACTATTTGTACATTCTTAGTACAATAAACCGAAAAGATAGATTGTTTGAATTTACAGGTGTGTGCCTTGAGTGGAGAGTCTTATCCAGTGACAGCACTCTGAGTGTAATCTATGTTAGTTGACGTAAGATATTCTTATCGTTGTTTCTCTAGAAGCTCTTCTTTGCTGACTATAACAAATAAACCAATTAATATAAATCATGTAAATATATTACAAGTGTAATATAACTTTATCCAGTAAACTATTATTTAAAGTACTTAAATAATGTAAATTACAATTTAATATAATTAATTGGTTAGATTTAAAACCAATAAAAACAGAATAGTTAACAAATATCACTAATAAAAGAATCATAAAATAAATATCAAAAATATTCATACTAATTACAAATTAACTAAATCATATTATTATCAGTAGGTCATTGATCACATAAAAATAATAGAAATAGTTCATGACTTTCACTTTTCTTTAAAAAGACTTTGGAAGCTGAAAGTCTCTTACACCGTCTGTCTTTTCGTTTTGTCTATAATGTTTGTCAGTGTATTTTATTTACATACATATTAATTTAAGAAATTAGAAATAGATTCACTTAAAGTTTTTTCATACAATAATTTTTATCTATCTCTCTAAGCATATAGCTACCCTTTAATAATATAAATTTCTTTGTAATACTTAAAACATGATCCTAGATTAATGCCATAAACGCCCATAAATAAACTTCAATACTTGTAAGTATAAAATATAATTATCTCTATAAGAAAACAATTAAACTTTCATATATTTTATTAATAATTTTTACTATTCTGTGTTACTTATTATACTATTGTTCATATTTATTTAAAACACTTCCTCCTAAACATGTTAAAAATATTAAAAGTTTACACACATATATTTCTTAATTCAATTTCATAATAAATTTAAGGTATCAACATCATACAATGCTAATCAAGCAATATAAATAAATAATATTATCGTATATCAAATTCACTGATGTGTATTTAATCAAATATTAAACAATGACCGAGTATTAATAAATGAAATATAAAATTATACTTATACACATAAAACATTCAACCATATTTAATGCTCAATTAATGAACAATACTATAAATAATATTAGGAGATAAGAAATATAAATATACTCGTGCACATACCTCGATTTCTACCAGTTGTATTTAATTTTAATTTTATACTTTTATTTCTTATTCCTATTACAATAGGGTTACAAGGTTATTAGGTTACCTATATTTAGTTTGAAAGGCTTGAGTTTTTCCAAATAGATAATCTCCTTAAAAACTTTGATACATTCCTATATCAATCATTCATTGCTCCTTGTTAACTAAAACAAAACAAAAAAAAAAAAAGAATTAAACTAATAATTCTAAAACTTTCTAATACCTTAATAATTTAGAAAAATAAATGGTAATGCGTTGAAACTATAAGCTTATTTTTAAAAACTATACAAAATTTAAATAAATATAAAAACCAGACAATAAAACAAAACCTTTTATGACACAATTATCAAATTATGCAAATTACAATTTTGCACTTAATATGTATATATTATATTAATTATCCAATGCAAATTTAGTTGATATATTAATATTCATCAATCAGAAAAAAAATTATTTTTAACACAATACAATTAATACAAATTAATACAATTTCAAAAAAATTCAAGATACAAAATAGTAATTTAGTTAATTAATACAACTTCTATATTCTGTTTAGTTAGTAATCAGTGGCTAAATATTGCACAGGAGTATGATTCACTATATCTACAGTATGCATTCGGTAAATTTACAGGTTGACTTGATGAAGAGAGAGAAACAGGTATTGTCTGACCCTCATCTGATGAAAACTGGTTTCCATAAACCACATTTTTTAACTTGAACAAAATACAGACATACTCATAACAGTCATAACTATATTACAAATTTTTTTTTTATATATTCTGAATAGGATAACATACAGTAACATAATAAGCAAAAACATAAAAATTAATAATTCGCACATATTAAAGATAGAAGAGAAATATATTAAAACTTGAATTTACCTGTTATTATCATGATGCGAAATATTCAGTCCAATCATAATAGTGATCATAATAACAGTTTAAATTTTGTAATACATATTAGAGCAGGAATTATTTTAAACTGTACAGCTCGTTTTATAGAATTTATTCTTCACAATTTGTCCTCAAACATCTTTATTAAACATTCATATAATGTTAAATCACTCAAAACTCTTCTTTTTAAATCTAAAAACAATATTAAATAAACATAACTATAGTTAAATATTATAGATAAAGTAACAAAAGCATTTTATTCACTTATTATTATTATTACCTATTTGAATACTTGATTGTTATAGCTGTTGAGAGTAGTAGTTTTTTCTTCAATGATTTTTCTTCCTCAAAACATTGTAATTTGTCATAAAAATATCTAGAAGGCTAGAAATAAATAATAATTACTTCTAAACAAAAAAAAAATCAATTTAACAGTTACCAGTAATTAAGATCTTACCATGGTAGTAAATAAAACTTAAAAAACCCACCAAAAAACAAACATAAATACACAATACTTATATATTAGAACAAAGTCTTAAAGTTATTTATTAAATACAAAGTGAATATATTACTATAATAATATTAAACTATTAAATGTCTCACTTTCAAATTTTGATTTTCGGCGTCTAACGCAAAACGCGAATCACTGTATTAGACATTAGTATCACTACTATCACTATTTACTATCTATTTTCGTATCCTATACTGTGATTCGTTCAAATATTGATAAACATATTTTATCTGTGATAATAACAAAACCATATATAAATAATATAAGTGATATACTGATATCAACATGCAATTCAGCTGTTCAGCGCGTTCAAGCACAGAACAATAGGTAGTTCAAATAAATCTTTAAAAAATATTTAAATATATTGATATATTATGAGTTATGACAAACAGTTTGATAAACTCTTATTAAAGACGTTAAGATCAAATTACATTTTTAAATACTGACCAAAGTTAGTAATAAACCTGAACGTTTTCCCACTTCTGCTGAATTAGGTGTAGAAACAATATAACTTGCTGTAATATTTCAATATTTCTTTATTTCATATAAATGACCATAAATAACTTTATTCAACTCAATAAACTACATAAAACAAATGCAGAAAATCTTTCTCTTTTTGGATAAGTATTCTACAAAATATTTTCCGTGTATTATAATATTATTGATTATAGAAATAGAATAGACTACCGTAGATCGAGATGACTTAGAACCAGGCCCGGCTAAAGGGATAGGTAACATAAACCGACGTCTAGGACGGCATTTTTCGGAGGCAAGATTTATTATTTTTTTATTAAAGATAATTTTTAAAAACTTTACATGTAAGAAGCGGTAAAACTTAAATTTGCCTAAGTGTATTGCCGGAGATGCTTGGAACTACGAGGTGAAATGAAACAATTTGGTTTTTGTTTAAACATATCAAGTTAATAGTTATCTGAGAAGATATTGATATCATTTAATTCTACCTCCATCAAAAATAAATTTATAATCTGTGTGATAATAATTGTTATCTTCAACCAAATGATTAGTTTCATCTTTACCACCAAAAAAAAATTACCAAACATTTTTCATGATAACGGCGAATTTTTCAATGCTTTCAAAAGTAATTCAAATGTTACTTGTTACTTGTTAGTGAATAAAGTCGAGTTTAAAGTTTTGTATATTTTTGATGCATTAAAGAACACTTCAAAAGAAGAATTATTGCAGTTAAAACTCCAAAAATATTATTTTTTTCCAATTTTATAACCTATAAGTTTTATTTTACAAAAAAAATTGAGAGTTACTTAACTAACACCAAAAATGCATAAGAAAAATAGTAGATAGTTAAAAACCAAATAAAGGCAATTTCTAATTCCAATAGTAGGTACTTAGGCATTAAGTTTTGTTATTAAGTATTCTATTGAATTTTTTTATATGTTTAACAAGTTGCATATTTATTTATTTTATTGTTTTAAAATTATGTGTATTTTGTTAAAAAAAGGTTATCAGCTATTTTCTTTTTTTTATATTTACTTAAAATGTATTCAAAATAAATATTATATTACAAGTTATCTCTTACGTACATGAATTTAATTTTACATTGAATTATCCTAGCTGTTAAAAGTCATCTAAAAATTGAGGTTTTAACCTAGCCTAAATTAAGTTTTAAATATTACTTTGTTTTTTAAATGGGTTATTTCCAAATTTTAATATTAAATTATAAATTATGCTTTTCATATATATTATTCTAAAAAGTAGTATATCTATAAAATGTTTAACATAACGTCTTTTTCCCGTTACCTATGCGTCAAACCGGGTTATTAGTAATTATCATCTAAATATGCAATTGATACAGAAATTAATCTACATTTTAATCTTAATACCTTAAGAAAATTATGACCTTTTCTAAATTCGTAATCCAATCTCACATAATTATTATTTAAACATCAAATTAGATTGTATTTTTTTATGTATAAGGAATTAGGAATTTATTTTGACCCATCTCTTTCATTTAATGATCACTATACCGTCTATACCTATATTCATATCCAAAATAAAGCCTCTTCGATCTTAGATTTTATAAATCGCAGTTGTAAAAACTTAATCATTCCTTTAGCAATAAAATCACTCTAATGTTCTTTTGTTAGATCATTATACTCGATTATGAATCCACAGTGTAGTCTCCGCAGTCAATCGGTGATATAAAAGGCATTGATTCAATTCAAAACCATTTTCTACGAATTATTCAATTTAGATGTGATATCGAACGTGCTTCTTACTGATTGAATCAACCTGCACTATTATCATACTTAAAATTAGAAACTTTTGTATGTAAGACGTAGGTACATTGAAAAAAAAAGAATCGATCTGTTTTATTTTTAAATTAACGAATGAGTATATTAAGTGTCCGGAATTGCTTACTTTATTAAATTTTAATTTCCCAAATCGTAGAACTATAGGTAGTTGTATATATAGCCATATAGGTACTTTTTATGTGCCACTCCCGCATTCAAAATATGGTCAAAATGCTATATAAATAGATAATTGCAACTTACAAATTATTTAAATGTTGATCTGTTTTCCTGTGTTTCATTAAATGATTTCAATTATTACCTAAATAATCGTTTGGCTGTATTAAATATACATTCTATATGTCAATATCACATTAAGTAAGTTTATATTGTTACCTATGTATTTTTATTTTAGTATTTTTTATATTTTTCTTTCGGTGAATTATTTTAATCATAATTGTATTTGTCACACCACATTTATTGTGCTTAAGCCTGAAAATTTATCAATTATATTACTATCTGTAGGTACTGTCGTATTATATTGAAGATTAATAGTAAAGTAATAACAAAATATCATATGAATCCTAGACATATGTCTATAATAATTATAACTGGGTTCGCCCGTTTAAATATATGAATATAATACAATATAAATATTTTATTCAAAAGGTGCAAGTAACAATGTCATTATTCATTAACATCTATAAAATTAAAATTGAATATTAAAATATGACGGAATTAAATAATAAATACAATATCAATGATTATAAATGTATAATTAAAAGAATTATATAATTTCCAGAGAACTAAAAAAATTTTTCGGGTGGGAGGGAGTTTCAATATTTTTACTAACACGCATTTTAAGTGAATTTATTTTACTAGATATTCATTTGGAATTTATACAATATTCATACAATATACATAGGTCAGATCGTATTCTATTATTTAATAGTAATATTTAAAAAAAAAACCGTTAATTTTAAATTAATAGAAACAAATATTAAGCAATACTTTTTACTAAATTCTTTAAAATTTCGGAAGGGGGTTTAACACCCCTCCCCTAGGCACGCCCCTGATAATTTCGAAATCCAAGTCAATATAAAAAAAAAAATATATGATAAGCTTATCCATATGATTTTAAATTCTTTCCAAAGTTTGTAAATAGTTCATGCTGCTCATGGCTTCTTTTTCTTTTTTCTTCTCCATTTGTATTTACGTATACTTCTATCTTAGTATTTAAATTTTAAGTCCATGATTTTATGTACAGAAAATATACAAGCGTTCATTTAGGAACAATTTATTCCAATATCGTAACAATCAATGTTTTTTTGAATAGGTAAGTAAAATGTATATGAATTTAATTATGTTCGTTGTTTTTACACGGAATAGAGTGCCCGACGCCCGAATATGACTAATGGCCATAATTAATATTCCTCAATTTACGTGTGAATTTGTTCAAATATTTCAGGTAACGTCTATCGAAGATGTTATTTATAAATATTATAAGTTTATCAAAAATAATGTTTTAATATCTGTACATATAAAATGACTTGTCCTGGTCCCTGGGTGATTTATCGTCATCTAGCCGAAACCGCTGAAGTTATAAGAGTACGAAATTTGGACAGTAGTTTTGTTTTGTGATGTAAACATCCACTAAAAAAGTATTTTTCAAAATTCAACAACTACAGGAGTTTAATAGGTTAAAAGGGTAAAAATAAAAATAATAACCCAACCTTAATACGGGTTATTCAGCTAGTTTAATATAAACATATAGATATAAAACATATTTATATTTATAAATATGAATCCTTTGACTAAATGACTTAACACGTCATCATACTGAATCAAAATCTGAAAAATGTATCTGATTATTTATTCAAACACTTCAGTCATAGATGTATTGTTATCACTTATCGTAGATGAATATTAAATATGTACAAAAAAAAAGTCAAACTAATTTTAGTCGGAAATTTTGAATACTACACCCTTTATAAATACGCCACTGGCCACTGGATAGATCGTACTATCGTAGATATGTTGTAGAACGTAGAAGATTCAAGTAGGTATCTCAAATTACTGATTTAAAGAATATACTTGAACGAGGGTACATTTCTATCCGTAATATTAGTATAAATGTAAAAAAAAATGTATTTGAAAATTCAAAACAAAGAAGTATATTCACTATATTCTAAGTCTGAGAAGAAATTAAAAACTTGCCACGAAAAGATTTTTCGCGGTCAAAACAACAAATAATTAGCTGATGAATAGCTCATTGGGATAGTATTGATTTTTATGACGAAAATAACATACAACCATACAATATAGACTAAAACGAATTTGGAAAACGATAGGAAAAAAATCATCGATGGAGTTATTTGTATTTAGAACAAGAAAATTAGGACTCTCTTCGTCGTACAGTGTTTATCATTATGTAAACAACAGAATCAAATTGTTTATTTCAAACATTATGTTTGGAAAAAAATGGAATAATTATTAGACTTGATTTGTTGTTGTCAATGCACACGACGGGTGTGTTAAAATAACGGAGCAAAAAGAAACGTAACTACCAAACCTGCGTTAAACGTTTGGCCCGGACAATCGATGAAGTACAAATTATTAATTATCGGAAATAGTAAATAATATACTTTCAATAGTCATCAATAAATAATAGCGTCGCATCACGCCGGGACTGCTGCGACCGTGTGGGATGAAAATTTTATAACAAAAATTAAAAAAAAGAAAAACGTGCCAAACGTCGCGGGTCTGCGGTTCTGCCGCAGTGTCACCGGCGCCAACATTATTACGGCGCGCCAGTCACGATCGGCGGCGTCTGAGCGGGCGGCACTGGGTCAAAATTAATTTTCGCGACCGGCGCTCTCGCGGGTACGCTGCCGCTGTCCGCGGCTTGCGAGTTACGACCAGTTGTACACTTGTACAGTTGTACACAGTACACACACAAACACGTCCTACTGGCTGTTATACGGCGTACTGCGATCTGGCGGGGTGAGTGGTGGTTGCCGTGGCGTATTTAGGTTTTTGTCATGGGGAGGGGGATATGACTTTTAAATGAAGATACCAATGAGAATGTTGTACAATGTATTATTTATTAATATTATTATAATATTTTAATTCTAGCAAATTTAATCAATTATTGAAAAAAAAAAAAATATTAATAATTTTTTAAATAATATGATGACCATAACTATTTGTGTGTATACACTCCATGAGGGGGGATTTATCCTCTTGATCCCCTCCCCCGTAAGTACGCCACTGGGTGGTTGGCGTTCGGCGGCGGTCCGGTGGTGCCCCGTGCCCCCCCCCCCCCCCACCCGTGGACGATTTGCAATTTGCATTTAAAGGTCGCTACTTGCTCTCGTAGTCGTAGACTCACAAAGTCGACACGACGTGATTTACGAACTTCCGTAGCTCCTATACTCTCGTTCGCCCCATCCAACTGTATCGGCTGCTGTTTGGCGTTCGTCCCGCCGTTCGCGCCAGCGCGTCGTTATTACACGTGTAACACAATAATACATTATTATTAAAACATTTAAAACATTAAAACATTATTCGCTCGCTGCCGCCCGTGCGTACCGGTCGCCGTTGCGTTTGCCGCGTTTACGCTACGGCATTTTCACGGCGGCGACGGTTTTCTAATTCCGTCTCCTCGGCCGCGGTTTCCCCGCCCCGTCCTACGCGCGCGCGACCATTTAACCGACGACGGCGGTAAACGCGCGCGCGCGTCAACGTCGTCGAATTTTGTGCGAGTCTCGCGGCGCGCGCACGCGTCGTTGTGTGCGTGTGCGTGTGTGCGCGCATGTTTTTCGCTATAGCTGGTGGTGGTGGGCGGGCACGAGAGTGTGCATGTGCAAGTGTGAGCGCGGCGCGCGTTCGTGTGTTCGAGTTACGGCGCCGCGCGTGCGAGTGCGTGCGCGTAGACGACCCGAAGGAACCAACCGGCGGCCCCAGTCGACGGGATCCGCACGAACGCCTGTCGCCTGTCGCCTGCTCGTAAGTGCACACAACTCTCCGTGACAGCATCGTCCTGTGAAATTGGGTCGGTCGGTCGAAAAATACGCGTTTGGTACCTAATCGAATCGCGCCCGCCAACGATATCGTCGTTATAACAATAATAATATTGACAAGTAACCCACACACAGTCCATCCGAGGAACGATCCGATCAAATTGTCCGTTAAATGGCTTTTCTGAAACTATCCACATCCCGTAAGTGCAGTCAATTATTATTGCAAGAGCCGCTCAGAAACGACGTGTACGCTCGGCTCGTTCGGTCGCTGACCACCACATCCAATGGATCCGCTGAACAGCACCAACAGCGCAGGAACAGCAGCGCGGTGTCCGGCCCGGCGGCCGGCGTCGTCGACGCGAAGCCCAAATGGGACCCACTGGACACGTCGTTCGCCAACCCAGAGGCCACGTTTAAGAGCAAGACCACCTGGGAGATATTTAGAGCTTACATAGTGTACCAGCTATGCTCGTCCAGTTACCTTGTCGAGAACAACATGCAGGTAAACATACCGATTTAGCTCGATCTGTGACCACCGTCACGCCAAACACGCGTACTGTAGTACATGTGGGTAGTCGGGTACATCGTCACACTAAGAATTGCGTGTGCACAGACTGCGTAGTCGTGTAATAACATAATAATATTATAGTGTGTGTGGTGATTAGTGGTTTGTGTAGCCTATTTTATAGGTATCCACTTGATGCCCTTCCGTGCTTTTCACACTTGTGCACACTTATCTTTATTCTTTAGACGATACGGTTTTAAACTTAAAATCATTTTGTCTCATTAAGCACTGTATAGTATACACACATAGAACTTAGGTAATGAAACAAAACTAATGTTTTTTATCCACAACCTTTTTTTTTTTAAAACTACAGTGTACACCTTCTCATTTATCTTACTTAAATATACTCATAACTGTGATGTTCAATGAATGCCTAATCAATTCTTATTTTTAATTTTAGTATTTATATTCATCTATAATAACGTATACATAAATTATATTCTATATGTTAGCTGTTTTCTATAGGTTATCCTAGGTACCTATTTAATTTTCAAGTTAGAAAATCAAATGATTATTGGTTGATAAATAATTTCCTTGAAGTTAGCATGCTTGTTTTCTATCTCTTTTAACTTTCATTTTTCTTACGTTTCTAATCTATTATTGATAATAAATTAATACAGTTAATGAAATTTAAATTTGTATTGATTAATTTATGTTAAAGGTTATCCGGAAAATAATTAAAAACATTAAAAAAATAAATATAAGTTACAGGTCAATTGGTCAATTATTATGTATTATATTAATTACATATTTTTCCGTTCTCATATAATAGATAACAATTAAAAAAAAAAAATTGATAATGTTATTATTGAGTCACCGCATTTAAAATATGTTTTCTGTATCTATTATGATCAATATGGCTGGCTGGTTAAATACAGAACTTATGCATTAAATTTGCTAAAAATAAAAAAATCAGTCTGTACATCACTTTTGGCATGTGTTAGAAAATATCTAGGCATATTCTAGGTTATTTTTCACTTGTTGTTTAAATTGTGTTGGTAACTACCTAACCAATTCTTATTCAATTTTATATATACCTAGGTATTTATTTTTTTTTAAGGTATTTGTCAGAATATAAGTAAAGTAGTATCTCAACCATCTCTTAAGGCACAGTTTCTTATGTTATCTCAACTCAAATTAGTCTAGAATCTAGATCATATCACCAATAATTATCATATTTATTATTACCACTTAGTTTTAAGTTTTCAATTTGTATTTTTTATAATTACAGTACTGTTGTAATAAACATATATAATATTAATAAAATAAATAAATATGAGACCTAAAAATGTTTAGGTTTTAAACTGTAAATTAAATTTTATAATTTAAATCCTACTGAAATTATTATTTTAACCTTTTAATTATTAACTTGAACTTATAATATTTTTTAAATGCAAGCTTTTTATTTTTTTATCACTGCTAAAAATGTATTGGATGATAAGTTAAGATAGTTAATAACATTATCTAATATAACAATAATTATATTATTATATTAATTAAAGTAGGTGTATAAATAGGTATAATATAAAAAACAATTATGTCTGTAAAATGCACAAATACTGACTTATGGGTTAAGATAGGTAGGTTATTTAATTATATATCATAATTTATTCATATAATTACAGTTCAATTTTTTTTAATTTAAAATTAAAATAGATTGAGGAATTAAGGTTAACCTAATCTACTTTACTTATAACTATTAACTCGGCTAAAAAAATTTTAAGGCTAAAATAATTTTAATTTCAACTTTATACTGATAGACATCAGTACTACATTTTAGATAACTGTGATAGTTTAGTAGTACAGAAAACAAAAATATATTGCTGTGCATAATCACCTTATATATAACTTTTATGTGAATGTGACAACATTTTTCAGTATCTTGATATTAATGATGATTGGGATAATGATATACTTATTAAATTAATCCAAAAATGTTTGTCCCTTTCATGTTACTTGAACAAATTTTATTGTGTTACAACTATATTTTCATATTTATTAAATACTTTATAATTTTTTTAGCTCATGAAACTTTGCAAAGCTGTTTTTGGTGAAAAATTATTTACCCTTATAATGAAAATGACATTTTATGGTCATTTTGTTGCGGGAGAAGATCAATATCGTATTGTTCCTACATTGAAACGTTTAAGATCTTTTGGTGTTAAACCAATATTAGATTATTCTGTTGAAGAAGATATTAGTCAAGAAGAGGCTGAAAAACGTGAAGTTGAGTAAGTATAATTTTATAACCATAAATATATATTTTTTTTAATTTGATAAATAAACGCTAATTTTTATTTACCAATTAGATATTCACAAATATAGTAGAATTTAATATTAGATGTCTACAGATTATAATTAAATAGCTTTGATCATTCATGTATATAACTTTGAAAGGAGATCCTTGGAGAGATATTGTAGGGATATGGGATCTTTCATTTACACTGTATAGTGTTTGGTTTATTTTATCATTAGAACACAAATATTATTTAGGTTAGTGATGTTTTATGTTATTTTATAATTTAAATATAAATTCAATTGAGCAATCATTTTGTATTAAAGTATGTTATGATCATTTTTAAATTCTAATATTTTGCACTAATAAGTACTTGCTTTAAGATTTAAGATTAACAAAACTAAACATGAACTTGCTAAGTAAAAATGTTACACACAGTAAGATAAAAATAATGTAATATTTGAATCAATTTTATAAAAATACTCCAATTATGGATTAAAACTTTTTTATTAAGATTTTACTCCATAAGGAAAAATATTTTGTAAATTTGTTGGCCTCGTGTAGAATTTATTAAACCAAGGACAGCATTTTAAGTTTAGTGATTTAATAATATATTATTACCTCTAGTAACATATTATTTTTTTATATAATTAAAATGTGTTATTATAGTAGGTATCTAATAATCATTGTTACAGAAGAATAAGTAATTGTAGTGTATGTGTTAAATTTGAATTAAATTATAAATCATTGCATACTAAAAAACAATGAATGAAAAAATTCTATCGTGTTTATCACTAAGTTTATTATATGATATATTTTTACTGCTATTAAAGTAATTTATTATACTATTACTTATTATTTCTTTGTGTATATAAATTAAAATAATACATATTAGTTTAAAGAAGATACCAACAAATAAAATTTTAAATTGCTACAAAATAACTAAAATCGTGATTTTCCATTTAAATAATTAAATGAACTACTTTTGAAAAACCTTGTGTTACATTATTAATCTTTAGCTATAAAAATTTTAAATTTTAATAATTTTTAACTTAAAAACTAAGTTCAAATTTTTGTGATTTTTCAAAATTAGAGCTTCAAATGTTTATAAAAAAAAAATTTTAATATTTTGTAAATAGCTATAATAATAATTTATGAGGAGCTCTAAAATTAAATTTTCAAGTTTTCTTAATCCAGCAAAAAATTATTTTATCAAAAAAAAAAAATCTAAAAAAATTTAAAATTTATCATACCTATAATTAACTTAAGAAATGTTAAAATATTTTCTAAATTTTATGATGTACATAAAATGCTGATATAAATATTTTGTGAAAATTTCAAGTATTTTCAGTTATTTATTTTTGAGTGATACCAAAAATCGATTTGTTTGAAAAAATGTTAATATACACCAAAAGTTAAACGATTGCGTATGATTGCCGTGCACCGTTATGCCACGCAGATGTTTTTAGTTTAATATTACTGTAGAAAATATAATAATTAAAAACAGAGATTCAAGACGAAATTTTTATCAAATATATTCAATTCAAAAAGTTATATATTGGTACCTTAAATAGCTTCTTTTTGACAAATATCTTATAATTAAACGTTTATGACTTTTTTATTTATTATATTCTTTCATGTTTTATTTTATTCAAATAAAATCAACATTTTCCAATTTGTTAACTCTGCCTTTGAATATTGATTTAATTTTTATTTATGTTTTTTTCTGACGTTTCTTATAGAATTGAAATATCACGGATAGATGGGAGTTATGAAACTGAGCGTTATTAGTTTGATAGAAATTCATCGATTTATTTTTCGTACTTAAAAAAATAAAATAAAATGCTAGGTAATTAAAATACAAATAATAAAAAGAAATCAACATTTTATTATTTATAAAAATGTTATAATAATTTAATATTTACCTAAGATTTTCAAATGACTTATGCTCAAATGTATGTTAAATTGCGTCTATTGTATTAAATTCTAATATTTCAAATTAAATGGCAATAGTCTATAAAAGTTGCAGGTAAAAATCATACATTATTATGAATATTTATTATGACTTATGAGTAAATAATTCATAGTACTTAATATTAAGAAAAACAAAAATAAAAAAAATTTAAGAAAAACAGGAATTTTTATGTTACCAATATCTGAAAAAATTAATTTTGATTTTATTTTGATTTAAAAAACAAATGACAGTAAAAGAAATTTTCATCAAGTATTTAAAGTTTTGAGTTATTTATAGACCATTTAAATACGATTTATTTTTTTTATTGTCAATATTAACATTTTCACTCGGTCAAAAACCTTGAAAGCCTAATGAAATTTTCCTTACAAGTTGTTATTAATTTAAATATATTTTTTTTTAAATGAGCGTAAGCTTTTTTTTAATTTTAAATAAATTAATTTTTATGAAAATGTCAATTTATTAGTTATAAATATCGAACTAAATTAATTTTTTATATTTTCAAGTTAAACAAGTTGGATAATAGTGTAAGATACACTTCATACTCTTCAAATTTTTTATTTATTTAATTTTTTTTTAACGTAATTGTAATTAAACATGAGTTATTTATAGCCGATATCTGATATGTAACAATTTTGTTTGTGAAAATTCAAAATCATAAAAAACCCGAATTAGTTTTTGAATAGATCTCTAAATCATTTTTAGTTAACTTACAATAAAAGCTTGTCCTGAAGTAGGAATAATTGACGGGAGTTCGTATATGACGCGTGTAATATAATACTTACATTTCAAGTAGGTAATATGTTTATATAAAATAATACAACCTATATTCACCTATTATTTTATTTATAAAAGAATTTAAAATTGAAATTATAAAAAAGGTCCTTAAAAGATTAAATAAAAATATAAATTAGTTTAAATCTTGTTTAATTGATTGGTCATAAATTATTCATTCCTATATTCATTGGTATTTTCTTATTTTCAACCTATTATTATTTCATACGTTAAAAAAAAGATACACAAATAAATCGGCTCTAATACACGTTAATTGTTTTTCTAAGTATAATTATTTATATATACTTAGTCAGGGTATGTTTAATACGCTTGCAGACAAATTTAGCGAGTAAAATTCACAACTCTAGACTTTTTACGCGATATTTCAATTTAACCAATAATAATTAATGACTTAATATATATATTTAAATTTGAAATATTGATATTAGTTATTTATTCAATTAAGAATGTAAATTATGAATATAAAATATATATAATAAATGCAAAATTGAAATTTCAATAGTGATGTTATTTTAAAATGTATTTATTATTTGTGAAATTACGTTTCAATAAATATGTCATTCAAAATGTCACTATTTAGAATGTTTAGGTATATTATTTTATGAAAACATATTTTATGGATATATTTATAAGTATTATTAGATTTTTCAGTTTAAAAATACATATTTATAGTATTATAATTTATAACATTATACAATAACAACTGTATGAAATTAATTAATATTTATTATTTATTTTTAGATCAAGCATGTCAGAAATTGAAAAAAGAGACCAAGACGCTGCTCAAAAAGAAGGTAAATTTTTATGAATATAAAACTAAAATTGCAGTTCGAATAGGACTTGTTTAAATTTTTAATTAAATGATCGATTTCTTTGATTTGTTAAATGCACTAATTTATATTGAATATATTTGTGCCTATTTAAATCCATTACGTAAGCTCAGATATATACAATATTATTTTTCTCCCGGAACATGTGACCAAATGCAGTGGAAATGGATTTTTTCATTTCAATAGTTTATGTTTTTTGTCACGCATGACCTCATATTCAATAAAAATTAATTATTAATGATATTTATTTATTTATATTTAACTTTTTTTTAATAGTAATCGAGCCGGATATAGTTTGTATAAGATATTTTACTGAAGTACATGTTAGTCTTGGGTAGGTTAATTGAGTTGACAATTGGATGTGTTGCCTTTTCAAATTTTAAATTGATGCATAAAAAAAAAATAATAATATACAACATTACAACACATTTAAATTAGTTTTATAAAGTTGTAGTTGATAATAGCAAAAAATAAACCTTTTAGTAAATTTGTACTATTGTTATTGATTACATTATATGATTTATGCACAATGCATAATATACCCATTTTAGATTCAGAGCGTAGCGATAAATGTATATTGTATTGATTTTATCATGTGTTTGTTTTTTTTCGTAAGAGTTCACAATAAGTTGTCTATAAAACTCTTCGATTTTCAAAATTGGGGGTGATTTGGGATATCAAATTAGATCAAATTTGTACTTTAAAGTAATCAATCAACAACTTGTTTTCATAGCAAAAATTTTAATTAAACACGAATTTTTACACAAATTCAATTTTAGACAAAAACGATTTTGTTGTTTTTTTATATAACTCGGAAACGAATTAGTATTAACATTTGAATTTTTCCCTAAAAGTTTATATTACCGTTTTTTATTTACGATAGCATTTAAAAAAATATTTTGGCTATTTATAAGCTTACGAAATTTTTATTTTTTTTTTTTATTAATGTCGATTAAAAATTATTTTATGAGTAGAAATACTTGAAAATTTAAATAAATTTCCTTCTTCGTTGTTGATTTTCAATCACAAAATAACGAAAATATTTGGTCACATTATTTTTTTATGTGCTTTTAAAGTGAGCATTTTGATAAAACTCATAAAATCACAGAAATTAGTAAATTATATGTAGTTGAAAATTCATAAAAACTTTTCTTTTTGTATCTAATTTTTAAGAATGTAATACAAAACTATCTAAGTCATATTACCTATTCACACTTTATGATAGAGTAGTGTTAACTCAAAAGTTAATAACAATAATATATATTAAGCTATAAATTAAATTTATTATGGTTATTATAATAATAAAATATAAATAACTTGACAAAATACAATGTTTTTGGCATAGATCAAATTGACATATCATAGTATTAATAGTGAAACAAATTACTTACATAGTAAATCAAAAAACATGAAATGTTCTTAGTGATATTGACTGACAAACTATCTCCTCAGAATCTTTTTTTATGTGAAGTGATTTATCATTTAATTCAAATTTAACACATCCATTACAATGATTCACTCAACACTTATTAAACAGCAGAGTGGAACTTGCCCACTTTTTTAATTATATAAAATAGCAAATTTCACAATCATTTATTATAAAAGATAAATCTAACATTTAAAGAGGACTTCCTATCCACATGTGTTGTTTTTGTCTTAGTAAAGTATACCAGAATTTTTGTTCAACAATTTCACAATTGTACTAAAATTATTTGTACTTAAATTGTTAAATATTAGAGTGAATTGATCTATTGGCTTTTATAAACTTTGAGCTAAGAATATTATCTTTCTTCTCTCTTTTCTCATTATTTATTACAATATTTTAATAATTTTTAACAGAGCAAAAGTATTCAAAGTATTGTATAATAAGAGAATACAAATATTTCCTTACCTTAAGGTTTGAAAATTAGTGAATTCATTCTAATTTAGCTAGCAACATAAAACTGGAACTTCTAAAAACAAATTTGCAATATTGTCTATTTTTTTTTTATCTAGATAGACATGTAGGTCCTTTTATGTCCTGCATATTTTTAACACTACCATTTTAACTAATTTTGTGTTTGATTTGACTAACGCATGCATATTTGTGTTGGGGTGGCTCCTATTGGACAGATTCTGTTACAGCGGAAACAATTGGAGGTTCTTTACCACAGTACCACGTGGATAAACAATTCGCAGATAGAAGGTACAAGGTGCAGAGTGCTCGAACCTATTTCTACCTTAATGAAGCTACTTGTGAACGTAATATGGAAGTATTTCAAAACTGCCTACATGCAGTAGCTGGTAAGATTTATAAAACATTTTTATTATTAATAAAACAACATAGAAAAAATACAACCACGTAAATGTTAATAATAAGTAAAATATTAAAACAATATATGTAATAAATAAAATTAGGCATGTTCTTAATTCCTCATTAAATTATTTAAAATATAATGTATATACAATATACATGTTGCTAATTGTAGTAATATATTATGATTAATTTAATTTAATTAAGAAAACAACAATAACTAATACAAATTTAAAAACTCTGTGTTTTTAAAGATAATAAATGTTTTGGAAGTATACCAAGTATTCATAATTATATTATTAATATTTGAAAATAATCATCTAAATCCCGCTCATATAACTTTAATAAAAATATTTGTATTTTGTTTTAATCACAAATATTATGAACTATAAATGTCAAGTTAAAAGTTATATAAATACTAGCCGTTGTACTTACACCACTAAATTTTGTTTACTGACCAAACCAATGCCTAAAAATAGAATATTCATTAGTCATTGGTCAGACCTTCATTACGAGTCGAAAAATAATTCAGAAAAAAAATTGTTGACTCAATTTACTAACCTATGTTGTGACCATGAGGAAACTTGTTTCACATTTTTAAAAGATGTTTTGCTTTTATTATAAATATATCTCGCTAATAAAATATAATTCATTGATTATATTATGTTATTAAGAGTATTACATAATATAACGTATATGCGTTGTATTGTTCATTTTCAATCACTTAATAAAAATTGATACATATAATATAATACATAATTCTATTCTTTTTTTAACCCCGATAACAATTTATTAAAATAGTCTTTTATTACAAAATTATTTATCCTGATGTGTTTCATAATTTTTTTTTGTATTACAGTTAAATTATTTCCATGCAAATTATCTATATTTATAAAATATTGAAGTAGGTATTACCGGTATTAATTGATTGGTCCTTAGATTCTCTATCAGTGTAATTTAAAGTTTGATAATAGATAAAGTGTTCTAAAAATGACATTTTTGCGGAAAAAAAAATCTTAATAACCATGTGTCTACTGTCTACAATAGGTAGAAGCTATTATTGAAAATAACGAGAGTCCTAATAAGTAATAATAAAATTATCGTAAACATTTTCTAATTTAATTTGAAACTGAATTAACTGTATACAATTGATAGTTATTAAAAAAGTATATTTTGTTTATTCATACTATTACAAAAATCTATTGATAACCGCCACTACTCGCCTTTTTCTTGTTCTATGTAAATAATCTTTAATTTGAAATTTTTATAACAAGTTATTCTGTATTCTACAGTGGTGATAGTTTTAAATTTTTTATTTTTAATAATTATAAATATAAGCATTTTTAAGGATGTAGCGATTTTTTGTTTTCCATGATCTAAACTCAACATAGTAAATTAGTGTTAAGCGAAATCCTGAATCAATTTTGTATCATTAGAGTGAATTGATCTACTACATAGGTTTAAGTTACAAACATTATTTGTTTGCTGGCCTTTTTTCGATGTTTCAATTTGTATATACGCTACCAGTGGCTGGTGAAACACGTTGAACACTGAATGAGTGTGAAATATGAATATGTATATTATAGAGCCCATATGACTGCGTATTGACATGATCATGTTATTTTGTCCCGTGAAAAATTATCTATAAATAAAATTTATTTTATCGGCGATATTCGAGCGATTCGAGGAAATACATGCATCCTAAAACAGACAATGCTATGTTATATAATATTATGTATGATATACCTATATTGAAATCCAACAATTTTGATTGTATATTAAATTTAATTAATTTTAATGAAAAAAATATTTATTCATTAAAAACAAAAAAAAAAAAATTGAAAATAATATGCATTTAAATGCAAAATTAACTTAGCTCTATCACAAAATGTATTTGTTTCTTGCTTAGCTATTTTTGTGGCCTTGCTAAATAAATATGAAAATGCTACAAGTCTCTTTTCTATAGTGTTATGGTTAATGGATAGACATATAAAATATTATTACAATTTAGAAATCCTTTTATATAACTACCATGTATTATTTTTTTTTACTTTTTATATTTATGCTAATAACATTAAATTGTTTTGCTGAATAAAAATACCAAATTTGCCATCTTGAATGTAGATTAGAGAAATAAAATAGTGTGCTGACATCCTCTTAAGTTTTAGATTAGTGAGATATTTTACATTGTTGAGTATAAAATTTTGATGTTAAATAGTGCTTGTCAGTTGTCACTGTACATCTTAGGTAAACATTTATTATAATTTACTTATAAAAAAATATCGATATTGATTATTGATATTTATACACCTATTTATACAATATTTTTTGCAAATTTATTCAATATCGTTAATAAAAAATAATAGTTCTTAGTATTTGTGTAGCTATTAAACATTAAAAAACTGATTTTTTTTACTAATAATTATTTTATTTTATATTATTGTTTAGGTGCTACATATGGAACAGGAATTACAGCAATCAAATTAACAGCACTTGGACGTCCTCAACTTTTGGTACATTTTTGATTAAAAAATTAATATTGATTAGTTATAATTATTTTATGCAGTTTTTATATAATATTTCAACTTATGGAAGTATTACTTCTTACTTGATAACTTGTGTAAAAATGTTGCAACAATTGCTATTATTATTCTTAATGAATGTAAAAACTCACCAAAATGTCAAATGTATTGAGTTAATTCTATTTTTATATACCAAAACAATAACATGTTTAGTTATTTGAAAAAATTGAGCTAAAATTATTTTATTTTTATTGTTAACACAATTTAACAATCACGTTGAATAAAAGTAGTTAGTGTTCTATTGATCACTTATTAGCAGTTACTATAAATTCAATAATGATTATAATTATACTCATTGATATCCCAATACTTCTTAGTAATACAAACTAAGAAAAAAAAATATATAAAAATAAATACAAATCTTACTAATATGAAACTAAAAATATTTATTTGATATTACAGTTGCAATTATCAGAAGTAATCATGAGAGCTCGTACGTTAGCTAGTGAAATTATGGGTGGCAAAGGTAATGTAATTGGTCAACATCTCACTCTTGAAGAATTAGATAAACGTTTGTTTCAAGCTGGAATCAAGGACACAAAAAAGTTTTTGGAAAAAGTCACCAAGGACAGTCAAGGGTAAATTTAATTTATAAATTTAAAATATTTATTTTTAATTAAAAATTAAATTGTAATTTTTTTTTTTAGTGTAATTCATTTATTTCCATGGAGTGGTTTGTTAGATGAAAATTCTGAACTAAGCGATTCATTCCGTGTTCCTTGCTTGAAAGAAGGTCGTATGGTCAGACTATTATCTCAACTATCTAAAAAAGAAGAGGAAATGTTCCGTAATATGGTTCATCGACTTAACACATTAGTTCAAGTATGAAATAATACTATTTTGAGTTATTTATTAATCTTAATATAAGTTATACAGTGTATTTAATTTATCGTATCACCTATTATTTCAAAATTTATTAACATTTTAGAAAATAAATAATTTTTATTATGTTATCGGTATACAACATTTTTCTATTTTTTATCATAGTAATTTTTTTAGTTGCATACTTTTTTAATAAAAATATGTGGTTTTGAATTATTTTGAGTATTTTGATTTATAATTACTAAATTTAGGACAAGTGTATTATGAGATTTATCTATTTATAGTTATAACTATAACTAATGAACATAAATTACTTATCCAAAATTTGATTTTTATAGATCAAAATATTCTGAATAATATTTTGTTTCAAACAACTATTGTATGTTATCATTTAAAAAAAATATAACTTAAAAATATAAAAAAAATATTTTCAAAACCGAAATGATGAGTATTATATTAAATGATCAAAGTGGAGTTAAACTAATTATATTTATTTGTACAATTTTTAAACAGACTGCTAAAGACTTAGATGTCCGTATAATGATTGATGCTGAACAAACATATTTTCAACCAGCTATATCTAGATTGACTCTTGAATTGATGCAAAAGTATAATACAGAAAAAGCTATTGTGTTTAATACATACCAATGTTACCTAAAAGAAACACTTAATGAAGTCAAGACTGATTTAAATCAAGCTAAGAGACAAAAATTCTATTTTGGAGCCAAACTTGTAAGGGGTGCTTATATTGATCAGGTAAACTATTTATTTAAGCTATAGTAATTAAAAATTGTATTTTTTAATAAAAAATATATTTCTTATTTAGAAAGGTTTATTGATTATTATTAACTGTTGATATTATAAATTTGTTAGGCTAATATTTAGTTATTTTAGCGTCCTTTGTAATATGATGTAATTTATAGGAGAGAGCAAGAGCTGCAGCATTGGGTTATGCTGATCCAACCAATCCATCTTATGAAGCCACCACGGAAACTTATCATCAAACGCTGACTGAGTGTTTAACGCGCATCAAGTCACTGAAAGATCAAGGTGATGTTTGCAACAAGATTGGTATTATGGTCGCATCCCATAATGAAGATACTGTACGTTTCGCATTATCACAGTAAGTAAAATCATTAACATAATGCTAATATATGAATAAATATATTTTATGTCATTTTGACATTAGTCCAAAACCCTAAGTGAATCTTTCTATGTTATACCTAATATGTAAATCGGTAGGTAACAATCAAAACGGGGTTAGAAATGGTTAGGCTACGTTTGTTAATTTGATAAATTTTGCAGAGACACATAGAATAGTGTCTAAAAAAACATTTCCAACGCCATCCAATACAAGGGAATAGCGATTACTGGAATAAAATGCAGAAATGGATATTACACAAAACAATAAAACAAAACAAAACAACAGTACTCATCATTTATGAAAACCACCACCAACATAATAATTTAAAATTTGTTTCATAAAACATTTTTCGTTTTTGTTTTCCTCACTTATCAGAATGCAAGAAATTGGAATCTCTCCTGAAGATAAAGTAATCTGCTTCGGACAACTGCTTGGCATGTGTGATTTCATTACGTTCCCCTTGGGTATGTTGCACAAATAATAAATTTATATGCATTAATGTGTTGAGCATAAAAGTAATAAAAAATGTTTTGAATTTGATAGGCCAAGCAGGATATTCGGCGTACAAGTATATACCGTATGGCCCAGTCAACGAAGTGCTACCATATCTGTCTCGTCGAGCTATGGAGAACAAGGGTGTTCTAAAGAAGTTAGCAAAGGAAAAAACATTACTGAGAAAAGAACTATTCAGACGCATACTGCGTGGACAGTTTTTCTACAAACCTATTGGCAATTACACGCCAGTTTAAGAACGAAATATAAGCCTTAATATCATATAGTAAGCGCAAGTCTCTCTAATGGTATGCCGATTAGTCTTATGTTATTACTATTTTCCCTCCAATATAAACTTAACCTAATTGTATGACCGATTAGATCTGAATAGACAGTACTTTTCAGTATTACAAGCAATAATAGTTTGATTTTACATTTCAGAATCTCATTTTACCTTATCCTAAACACGTAAACCTGTACTTAAATGTGATGGAAAAATATGTTTATATAATTCCTTTTATATTCTTTTCATCCCCAATGAAACTTAAACTATTTATATGTTCATATAATTTATTAATCGGTTTACATTGAACTGCGCTTTTAAATTTATGCCGGCCTTTATTCGTAGAAGACAGTTTATTACTGTTTATAAATAAATTGTAAAAGTATAAATATATACATAAGAAATAGTTGGTTTCACATTTTTGTAAAAAAATAAAAATGTTACGTTATCTTATTTTATACAAAAACATTTAGTTCTATGCTAATAATATTGAGCTACTGAAATATAAAGCCATAATGAGTTGTGCCTATATAAAAAATAATATGTTTTGTTAAATTTTAATATTTATAAAAATATTGTTATCTTTTTTTCAGCTGTAGTAATTATTTTTAACTATAAAAGTAATATGAATAAGAGTATTAAAAATATTCAAAATTGGACTATAAATGGTTATAAATTTGATATAATATTTTTCTCATTAGTACAAAGATTATTCATTATAAATAAATAAAAATATTCAGTCACAGTTTTAAAATTGTATACAGTGAAACCTCTTTATATTATAGTAGACAGTCATGGGGAATTAAAAAAATGTCCACTATAGGGAGACTCTATAAATATTGGTTATACTTATACATATATATACATTTATTATGTATTTAACATGTATATAGTAAAAAATGGGTATAACATTTTTTAATGTAGGTACTGCACTCAATGTGCAACACTCAACTGATGACCAAACACATAACCGAACCATTTGTCATTTTTCAAATAGGAAAAATTTTAAGATAAGATAAAATATGGACGAAATGTATAAAAGATAAATTTAGTATTTTTATTATTTAAATATTTTCGATATGTATATGCATTTTGTCCATTTATGAGAGCTAATTTTTAATTTTGGTACCAGTTTTTTTTAGTGTCCACGTCCACTATTAGGAGTTTCCACTATTAAAGGGTTATCATTCTTATTATGTGCACATATTTTTACTGGGGAATTTAAAAGTGTCCACTGTTGAGAGGTGTCCATTAATAAAGGTTTCACTGTACATATATTATAGTATGTTAATGTTATAACATGTGTTGTCATAATAAGTATAAAATACTTTAAAACTTGAAATTTACTTGTTGAATACGCTCATTATATACTTTTCATTTTCATACACAAGTATCAAATATTAATTAAGATCAGTATAAATATAATTCTATGGATAATAGGTTTGAAATAAACATTTAGAATTTCACAACAATTTCTTTTGTTTTATATATATATATTCAGTTATTATTTTTTCAAAATTAATTATACCAATGAAAGAAAACATAGATTGCAGTCATTTTTTTAGATTAAAATGTATCTCAAGTTTAATAAAACATTAGGCTTTAGTTTTAATTTTTTAAATAACAGAGCAATGTGATATTAAATTTAAAATAAAATAAAAAACTTTCTTAACAGAAACTTTAATCAAAAATGTTCATGCTTTTAAATGATGAAAAGGTAGTTTTCTTCTACTTTAAAAAAAAAAAACTTGCTTTAAGTACTCACCATACTTAATTTATGATCATTGAAGATACAACTTTTTGAGCTTTTACTCGACTAATTTATTATAGTTATTACTTATTATATTATATAAAGTAATTCAAGTAAATAACTTACCTTAACAGTTATATAAGATATAAATGAATCATAGATATTTTTAGATTTAGACGGAGTCATTTAGTGATTCATATGTTTAGGATTGTTGGTTTAGAACGATAAATTGATTGAAATTTACAATATGTAAGAAGAGAGCAAATTCATTGTCTTTCCTTTTTGAAAACAATAAATTAATATTAAGTAATAAAATAACTTAAGCTAATACTTTTGAAGATAAATTCTACTTAACTGCTTATTTTTGCAGTAAAACAATATAATAAATGTACAGATATAAATTAGTATTATCGTCATTTATTAAAAAGGCAGTAGAATCGGTGTATAAACATGAATTAAATAATAATTCTTTGTTCAGTACAATTGGACGTTGTTTTATTGGTTATGATAAATTAAAATTTTAGGGTTGAATAAATTATTTAACAATTTTATGTTAAAAATAAAATACTTATAATGAAATGCAAAAAAATGTGTTTTTTCTTTAATACATTGTTTAAGACAATACTTTTTGAGTTTTTATTTACCTTTACAATATTGAACTAAAAACTAAAGGATCTGCAATACAGTGTGACAAAACTGGACGGTGTGTCTTCCTATCGCCTTAAATAAATCTATTGAAAATAATAAGGTTTATATTTTTTTTTCAGCGTAATACAAATAAATAATTGAGTCTAATTAAAACTGACTAAAAGTTTAAATTCTACAGTATTAACTGTTTCCACGATATTAACTATTAAAATCAATGTGTTATTAATTTTATCTACTAAGTGATTTAAGATAAAAAAAAAAAAAAACCAAACTAATTCTGGTTTAAAGAGATTGCTGTAATTCATAACTCGTATGTAATTTGCACAAAATCAAATAAACGTTTCAACTTTTATATTAGTTTAGTTATTTATCATTGATTTATACATATATTTCATACTCATTATTATAATTGATTAAGTCAAGCATTAAGTATTCAAATAATGACCAAATTATTATAATTTCATTTTTATTTAAATAGTAACTCTTTTGTATAATAAAAAAAATTCAATTGATTTCATAACGAACAAATCATTACAATTACTTATAATACACTATTAAAGTATTATACAATTTTCAATAGTACTTACAATTACTTAAATGTATTTACTTTTCAAATTGAAGCTTAATATATAAATCACATAATGTTTTAATAACAGAAGTCTTTGTTTGGCACAAAAATACATGTATAAAAATTATAAGTATATAAATACTTGTCTTAGTGATCACGAAGAATAATCTGTATCTTCTGAAGGGTCATCATGATCAGTGTCTGTGTCAGTACCACTCAAATCACTGATCGTAGTAACAACAGGCCGATTAGTATTTGGTTTAATATCATAATTATTGTCTTCTTTCCCCCATCCTTTCTGTTTCATTAGTTTCATGTCCTCTTTGGTCAACACGCGTACGATTTCACCACGTACCTTGTCTCCTTCAGCTATTGGTTCAATGACGACATAATCATTACGTTTTACCCATACATTTCGTCTGAATTTAGCTGGCATTGAAACTAAGAATGTTTCATTGTCTTCAACTGAGAATACTTCATGAAGATTATTTCCACGACCAGCAATTATGCGAACAATGCGTTGATTGTCTACTGGACCATTCCAATCAGCAGTAAGCATTTCTTTCTGCACATGTTTACGTTTAGTTGCCTTAGACATTCTGTAAAAAATAACACTTATAAAAAAATTATTTACAAAATTGTTTTTTAATGTTAACATAAATCTTAAATCTATGATAGATGTAATTGTTTGGTTCAGTCTTTTGTTTTATCGGCTTTCCTCTTTTTCTTTTTGAACACGCCAATGTTTCCACCAGACAGCTCAATAGCTTTTATAATGTCCAAAGACTCTCCAAGTGGTACCCCATAGCCTTTTAATAATCCATGTGGATTGGATGGTGTAACACAATCGTTAAGAGCATCTTTTCTAAGAGCAGTATCAACTTCAACTGAACTGAAAAATGCTACTGATTGAGGCAAATCAGTCATGCCCAATTTTTTGACACAAAATGCTCTAACTAGTAAGTTTGTTATGTGCAAAGCTAATGCAGTCTGATAACGATGTTCATCTGGTACTAAATAACGTATCTCATCATGAAAACTAAGACAAAACCGTACATTAGGATGGATTAACCACCGCATGCATACCAACATTAAATGAAGGAAATCAACAGCACCACTTTGCACAACCCAATTAATTCTGGTAGGTATAAATTTATCTATGTCCACTCCATTCATTTCTAAAGCTCGACTTAGTCTTGATTCTAAAAATGGAGTTTTTGGTTCTTTTGAACATGCAATTTGTTCAAGGCTGTTGAACATTGCAGATTCTGAACCTCCGCTCCAAATAGGTTTATCAAACAATTCATCAACACTCTTATTGTAAATAGTGCATAACTCTTGTGCACCGAGTCGGGAATGTTCTCTTTTTTTAACTTCTGGTAAAACATTGTCATGAAGTTTGTAGATTCTGTTTCCTTTTGTCATGTTAAACATGGCTATTGCTTTTTGTTTTGCTTGTGCAGGACTCAAGTCTGGATTGAATTGCTTCAATAATCGTTCGGAAAATGGTTTTCCTGCACCATAAATCCTAGCATAATTTAATACTTTTGCATTATCTCTTGTAATTCCAATTGCTTTAGCCGTTGTACTGTGCATGTCTGTACCATCATTTTTTCTACCACTAAGCGTCATCCACCCAAAAGCTGTAGCCCCATGTTCTTTGCCATAATAAGAATCTCCAATAACAGATGCTATCCACAATTCTTGAGAATCGACATCTGCTCCAACTAAAGAATAACCAGGGGGTGATTGGATCATACTACGTAATTCAGATCCAACGCGTTCATCAATAGCATTAGCAGCTGTCATCCATGTCCTTTCAACTGCTCTACGAGTTAATGTTCCACAAACTACAACCTGTGGTATGATGGCACCATATCCTTTAGATTTATCATTCCAAACCACGATTTGTCCTTCAACTCGTTCTCTGTTGTTCCTCCAATAAGATAACATGCGTGATATTTCAATAATATGCTCAGCATTACTATCTTTACCAGACAGTCCATTTTGAGAAAATTTATTTAAGAAATCTCGTGCAAGTGGGTTTCCAACATTTAAATGATTCCCATCTTTATGTGGAAGTTTCAATAAACCACAACCTGTAGATAAATTTTCTTTGCAAGGTTTATTCCGTATAATTTTGTTATTTTTTTTTTTGAAAATACATTCATACTTGACTAGATTTGTTTGGACATTTTCATGGAGTTCTGTATTATTGATTTTTATTTTACAGTCACAAGATTTATTATTTTTAATATAGTGGTCTTGTAATTCTTTAAGTGGTACCAATTCAGCATCTGGAAGTTTTATATCAGTGTCATATGGTACAAGTTGGCCCCAACCATTTCCCCTCACATAATGTAGGGGGAGGGATTTCCACATAAGAGAAAGTAATTTTGGAACAAGATGCATACCAGAGCTTATGAGTAATGGACCGGGAACCCAATGGGGGTCTTTGGGAGGCGCACACAATTTTCTATACCATTCTGGATAACCAGCTAGATGAGGTGTTTTAAGGGGCATTCGTTCACATGTTGCCATTAATGGCTTAAACATTTCTTGCAATTCTAGGAATTTCTTTTCATAAATGTCTTCTGTTTCTATAGGTTTATTTTCTACCGTAATCTCTGGTTTTTTCTTTTTTTCTTTTTTCAGTTTTATTTGCTTAGGTATCCAATTTTGGTCCCAGAGCCACAAATCTTTTTTATAATTGTCATTATACATTAATTGACAAGCTTGATTTGCTTGCTGTGAAAGTAAAAATTTAGATTCAATGTCCAAGTCTTCATATATTTCATTTGAAGTTTCCAGATACCTTTTCCAATTTGAATTTACTGGCAAATATGATGTACCCAGTTCTAAAATACCGGCTAGAGTAACAGGATGAGGAAAACGTTCTAAAAATAAAGGCCACAGTTTTCTTAAAACTTTATTAGTGGCTATAACATCATTTGCGCAGTAACTCATTAGATTTTGAAAATCATTATTAATATCTTGTAGTGAACCTTTAACAAATATATCACGATCACTCTTGGACAACTCAGCCTTACAATATAATTTATACACTTCATTTAAACTATTTAATGAGCTATGTTGTTGCCAGGATTCATCTTCGATGATATCCTTAGATTTTAATAATGTTTTTTGATAACTAGTGATTCCACTAATAGCAACATGCAGAGACATAGTATCTATAAATCTAAGAGCTGTACGATTTAACCAATATTGCTCCATAATTCTAGCTCTATCAAAAGCAACATGATGGCCTACACACAACTTGGGAGTGTTTGACCATTCAGTGATTTTCTCTTTAGATTTAATTGGTGTCTCTAATGGAATAAGATCGTTACATGAATAACCAAGATATCTACCTGATCTGGTATTACAGCTGATTAAGTCTTTACTCACCCAACTGTACCAAGCTTCTGATGTAACAGCAGTTGCTAAGGTAGGTAAATCACCTTCTCTACAACATACTTCAACATCAAAAATCATTACTTTTTCTTTAGGATAATCACATTGCTCGATTTCCTTCCCATACCTAGTCCAACCTTCTCTGAACACCCATTCTTTAGGCATATCTGGAATTTCTTGTTTTAAAAATTCATCCATCAATATTGAATAGGGTTCACTTTGCATTTTACCAATTTTATAAAAGTGATCAACTATGTTTCCCTCCAATGGAGGTAATTGGAGTTCAATATCGGGCACCTTGTGTAATTTTGACGGTAAATCATATTTGGACAGCTCATTTAAAGCCATCTTCAAAACATTTTCATCTGTGGTATGAGAATCCTTGAAAAGCTGATCATACAAGTTGGCTGACAACATTTGAATGTTCAATGGGTTTTTACGAAATTCAGTCTTCTCCTTTGGTATTAAACGCGGTATTTTAGTCAATGAGTCCGACACCACGGTTTCTTCTTCTTTACCATTTTTCTCAGCCAACAGTTCAGTTATTTTGCTTGGTTGTTGGAATTTGGATACTGTACAGTATTTTCCACGGCTGCGCACACATTGTGCATAATAAACGTTAGCACGGTTCCAATACATTCCAATACACTAGGTATATAATTTAAATTATCAAAACACATGCGTTACATGTACACGGAGCCTATAATCTCAAGATTTTTAATTCTGATTAACAACACTTACCTTAGTAGATAAATCAACCCTCAAACATTTATATAATGTAAATATATTTAAAAAAAAAATAGTGTAAGAATAATTCATGTGTTTTACATGCTTTATTTTTATTTTTTTTCGTGAAAAGTCAACAGAACTACGTATACTCAAATATTAATACGAAAATTAATGAGGCAATGAAAATATTAAATAATTTATTGTAAATTGTAATAATGTGCGCTTCAAGTTTCAACGAAAAGTGGTCAGTACTTCAGTTCAGTAGGTACCCTGCTGCTATGCTCATTAAATACGATTAGTATGTAATCGTCAAAATATAACGAAACACAAAAGTCCGTTCTTAAGTTCTAGTTAGTTTACTAGCGGTCTAGAGAGATAGTGATACTTGATAAGAATCGGGATTATATTTACAGTTTACACTGAAATCATTGCGTACCCAAATGCATTATTTTTTTGGATTTCTATTTTGTTTTCATCAAATCCTTGTATTATTATAATGGTTTAAATATAATATTTTAAATTCGTTTTTTCCAATCACTCGTACCATTTTTGCACTATAGTGGAATCGTTTAACGTATTTTACAGTGATATTATTTATACCTACTCACCAAGATGACTGGTGAGCTAATTTGTTTATATTATAAGATTTTTATAATTTTAGCCGACCATTTCAGTCGTTTTGTTAATAATCATTATATTTTAACATGAAACAAATTATAAGATATTAATAATAGCTACTTAAATGTTTAGTTCTTATAAATTTTAAATATATCCAAGCTTATAGTGAATAATATAAAATGAAAGAAGAATCGTATTGTAGTATAATTATTATAATTTTCAAATTTTCAGATATTTCATTATTGGATTTATCTAGTCAAGAATTGCGAAAGTTGCCAAAAAATGAAAACAGCCATATTATTAAAGTCTTAGATGTGAAAAAAAATTGTTTACAAAAACTGGAAAATGTTGAATATTTTACTGAACTTAATGAAGTAAATAATTCTAAAAATAATGTTTAATATTTATACAAGTAGTCAAATTAAATAGTTTTTTTTTTTTTTTTTAAGTTAATTGCAAGCCACAATCAGATGATGAGAATGTATACTGTAGCAAAGTTAACAAAATTAGTAAAATTAGATTTATCTAATAATCACTTGATGAGTATTGAAGGGCTCAGAGATTTAGTAAATCTAACATGGCTTAATTTGTCTAATAACAAAATCAAAGTAAGTTCTATTCTTCCATCAAATATATAGCATAATGTATAAAATATTTTTCACGATGCTCTTAGATTATTGAACATTTATCAACTAATGTCAACTTAGTGCACATAGACTTGTCATTCAACAGCATATCATACATTACCAATTTGAGTCATCTTTTAAAACTTGAAGTATGCATTGAATACTTTTTGATTACGCTTTAATTAGATCTGAGTCAAAATTATATTCATTATAATTATTTATAGCTATGAATTATTGAAAATAACATTTTATTATATTTACAGAAACTTTTTTTGCATTCAAATCATATTTGCCATTTAACCAACTGTCAGCATTTTCTTCCAGTCAACTTACTTACTCTTACTTTAGCCAATAACAATCTTAATGATTTGAATGAAATATCACAGCTTTGTCGTCTTGGTTCATTAAGAGAAATCACTTTAAATGGTAATAGTTGCCTAGAAGGATACACATTTAATTATAGACCATTTGTAGTCAATTGGTGTCCTAGTGTTAAAATAGTTGATGGTTATGCTGTGGATGATATTGAAAAGTAAGTATTTAATAATTTAATGTAAATTCATTAATATTAGATAATAATATGTATAAATGTATTTCCAATTTCCAACAGCAAATTTGTATAAATTAAAATTGTTTTCTGGCATTCATGTCTAATTTTTTGAAAATCTATAGTTGCTATTAGGCAAAAGTTATGAAAAATATTTAATAAATCTCAATATTTTTCAGTCTTAAAGCCGAATGGTTGTATAGTCAAGGTCAAGGACGAAAATTTCATACTGGACAACATGCAGCTCTTGTCCGTTATTTAACAGAAACATGTCCACTTACTAGTCATGCTTTAGAGACTGAGCAAGAAAGAAAATTAAGATTAGTTTTGAGCAAAGCTCAACAATACAGAGAGCAATTACATAGTATATAAACATATTTATTATTTGAATTGGAGTGAATTTTTATTGTCATTTATAATTATGTTCTGTGTCAGGAACAAGTACACCAAATATTAAAGAATCAGGACAAGAATCGTTGATGACTAGGAGTCTAGATCCTAGTATATTGAAGTCTACTACTCAAAGGCTATCTACTGGTTCAGAAAGCTGCCAAGGAACACCTAATAGTATGTCTCGTAGTGTCCATTTACCAGTGACTGAAGTCAATAGTTTTGTCCAATCTCCACCTCTACCAGCTGCCAGCACTATGCTACCGATTTTAGACTCATTACCTAGTCCACTGACGCCAAGTGTACCTAAATCAAGACCTATAATTGGTGTTCAAACTCCAGCTGGTGAAGAATCACGAGCACCTACTATGGAAAAATTGCAAATGATTAAAAATAAAGCGTCACAAATGAACGGTATTGAGAACAAAGGTAAATTTAAACATTATTAATTTTCAATTCTATTTACATGAATTATGTGTTTGTTATTAATTTATTATATAGATTTACACCAGTCAGCTATAGTTATACAAAAAGCATGGAGAGGATATCAAACTAGAAATTTGAACAAAACAGTATCCAAGTTATATCAGCACATACAAATGCTGCGTTTCAATCAATACATCAAGTAAGACATTTCATCTAAATGTTTTTTTTTTTAAATTATATAATTTTTGAATTTTTAGGCAAATGAGTAAAGATTTAGTAGATACCAAAAGTACTCTAGAAAAAGAACACAAATTAGTGGTGTTACAAATGCAAGCTATAAATGAGCTGTGGAAAAAGGTATTACTACTATAATTTTTTTTTACATGATATACCTAATATTTATTGTTGCCTATTTTAATTTTTATTATTGACCAGAAAATGTTATAACCTTAAATCTTAATCGTGCAGAATATTGTAACTCTATAGTATGGAATTTTTCCTTTTCATTCAGTTGCTCAGTTGCACAGAAACCTGTTTAAAACAGAAACTTTTGTTGGTCTCGTGCAATTCTGCACAGGACAAGTTTTACTGTATATTCTGTTTAAATAAATAGCTGTTTGTGTGATCATGTGCATTGTAAAGTTTTGTAACATCAAAGTCCAATATCATACAAATTTCTGAAGGATAATATAATAGAATACTATATTTTTATATGGGATCTTCTCAATACAATCTTTTTCATATATTTAAAAATTAATAAATAATTATTGTGAATGATTAAAGGTTAACAGTATGGACAACAAATTAAGCAGTGATAATGGTGATTCCAACTGTGTGTTATGCTCTACATTGGATTCTAAGGTACTTAATATTATTGTAATTATATTATATTTTTTTAGATTATAATAAATGGAAAGAGAAATGTATTATTATTGGTTTTATCATAATGTTTATTTTTTTTATTTTAAGTATGAAAATGTTTTTGGTAATTAAATTTAATATTTCTTCAAGTGTTTAAATCTTTTCTATAGTTAATTATAAATCAATTTTAGTTGGTAGTTTGAAATTTAATTTATTTTTTGATTTTCTCAGTTGTTTTTTAAGTTAAATTAACTGCAAATAACCCAGCATAAAACATCATGGACTTTTACTTAGTTTTTTTGTATTTAAAATATTACTTTTAAATTAATTTTAGTAAAAAATCAATTTCCCTGTTTTAGGGATAAAGAAATGGTATAACTTTACATTTGCTGGTTCTAACTTTACACAATTGAAATTCTCTTTCCAGTAAATATAAGTCATTAGTTTGATAATAAAACTAATATTTTATATAAAATTATAAAAAAAATTATGTTATAATTATGTTTTATTATAATTTATGGACTTTTTTAAAATTATATTAAGTATAGTATTTATGCATGTATTTTATATTAAAAATAGTATACCTTATTTTTTGTGTAAAATTGTTAATGTAAATTACTTGTATTTTGGATACTCTTTTAAAAACAAAAAACAAATCTATTTTTTTAAGGTTCAAAAGTTGCAAGATTCCATGAATCGTGTGTTACGATGTGTGAATCCTTCAGCACAGAGTGTCGCAGAAACACAAACGGATATCACTGCCGTTCAAACACCAGTTGAAGAAAGTTGTCCTAACGCTAACACAATAACCAGGCCCAATTTTCTTCCACTCTCTAAATCATGCACGAATCAAGTCGTAGAAACTACCATTGCCCCTACAGCAATGTCTTCGGACATCTAAATTATAGATCTGTAAAAAAACTGTTCAAAATTTCTTTTGTATAATACTTATGTACTCTTTTAAAAAAAATCATGAATAACTTTTGCAATGATTTAGTCAAACCTATTGAAGTTAAATACACTTTTTTTCCTAATTTTTATTATCTATTTTATGTTTAGAAACTTAATATTATATAATAATATGATACGTATTTTATTTATGTTATAAAGGTAAATTCTAACTAATTTTTTCTACGATGGTATTATATAATAAAAACCAATTTTTTAAGTGTTTTTGTTATATTTATTTATGGAACTATTCAGTGTTTAACATTCAACTCCCCTAAATATGCTATGAATCATAAATTATTTTGTTAGCTTACAAAAACATTCTCTTTCCTCCTTTTAAACAGATTTTGTTTGAAGTCACAGTATATTGCTTTCAATAGTGAAAAGTAAAAAATTATAACACTAGACTACTGTAAAAAATAGAAGGTAAATAAAACAGTGTAAAATAATAAATAAATATTACCATCATATTCTGAAATCTAGCTTTTTTGAAATAATTATTTGTTATGAACTTGATGACTTTGAGCTAAAGCTCTATTAATAGTTTCTATTATTATGTTGAATGAATTTTCAAAATTCCCATATGGTCTTTTGCACTTTTGAAATTTTTAAAGCAAATCTGAAACCTTTTTTCTCAAATAAGTGAGAACTCCAACAGCAAAATCGGCAGGGAATTTTACATTATTTATAAATTTATTACAAGTTGAAAAATGGGCAAGATTTTTTTTTTATCAGTTGATTTGTAAATAGTTAATTATAATTTAAAATGTTGGTGTAGAAGTATAATTTTAAAATTAACATTTTTCTTCTTAAATCTTTAAATTAAACTCATTCAGGAGCTGAGTTATATCAATGAGAAGAGGTAGTTTTTACAACCAATAACCTTGAGTTATGACAAACCAGCTAACTCGATTACAGTGTAGTTTTTGTCATGAATATGTTTGATGATCTTATTTATTATTAGTTAGTATATAAGTCTGACTATTATTATTATACAAAACACCAAAATAAACACCTTTCATTTTATCATTTATTTTTAGTAAGAAATAATAAATTAGAAATAATGAAAGTTAGTGTATTACTATCAAAACATCATTAGTTAGGTAGACTGGTTCAATAACATTGGTGGACTAGAATCAACTTGCGGGCTTTAAGTTGGAGATTTCTGACCTGGAGAAAACATTTTATATTCAGGAATGTTGTGAAATGGCATGAAGATCATGACAAGTAAAAATTTGCTGATAAGAACTGTATACTCATAAATTGACAATGATGATCTTCCATATCATTTAAACTAAAAATATTATGCAAATTGGAAAGCAGAAAATATGTTGTTTATATATACTGTTCATGGTTACTAGTAAGTCATAATCAAAACAACAAATTTAATTATTAAATATATATATATATATAAATATTATTTTTATAAACCAATATTATGTCATGAAATAATTCTATGCATAAATAACTTCAGCTTTACACCTTCAAAGTAATAATTATCAATAGTATATTCTTCAACTTGATTTATGGGCACTAAAAAAATTGAATCAGACATACAATTATTGAATATGTAACAGTCATTGTATGAAGAACAAAAAGTATTAGTATTATATTATGTTATTTATAATAAAAAATAAATATTATATTATACAAATAGAATTCATTCAATGTAAAAATAATTTAATGATGTACATTGAAACATTTGAAATATAATTTATTTGTATGATATGTTCATACATAGTTATATAATTAAGACTATTAATATATAATTAAAAATAATTAAATAATTGACCAAAGTATTTAGGCAAATATATCAATTTTATTATCATCAACCTTTATATTATATACTATACATTGTTATACTTCATGGCAATAAATCTCATTAATAATACTTTATTTATACAAATATAACAAACATAAATAAATCAATAATACAAAAATCAACAATTATTGAATTTTACACTTGAATGAATGCACACTCTAAAATAACAGTAGTGAAATATAAATATCACAGATGAACTAAGTATGCTGAGCTCTGAAACTGGAGCATTTGCAATGGCCTTAATAGCATTCTTAATGCTACGTTTCTCCTTCATTCGGATCAAACATTAATGCAGTCACAGCAAACATTAAAAATACAATACCACCCACAATAGTTACTAAAAAAAAAAAAAAAAAAATACATATATATAATCTATTATATTATGTTTTTACTTATTTTTTTAAATAAAAACATACCAGTTCGAACAGATATTTTTTGAGCAATGAAACGGCCACCAATAACAGCTAGTCCTGTACATAAAGAATGTCCTAAGACTCCCCCAAGTGCAACACCATAAGCATCCTGAAAATGATTTGACAATTATAAATTAAAATATTAAATTGGTTTTAACGTTTTATACTTCTCTAGCTGCTAAAATTATAGTGGCTAATTGACTACGGTCACCCCATTCTGCGAGGAATGTCATTGTAAAAGCTTGAATCAGAGTTTTTGACACAATTAACAAACTTTTACTGCCGAATCGCAATCGACATCTTTTTGGAGCCTGTTGTTCTATGTCTACATCCTATATCAAAATCAATGTTAGCACAAAACATACAATTTATTTAGTTCAATAATTGTGAATATAATAGTTTTAGATTACATTATATTTCACTTGAGTACTTTGGAGAAATTGCGATTAAGTAACAATTATTACTAAAATTAAATATTTAAGTGAAATATAAATTACACCTAATTAAAAAGCCATTGAAAATCTACGAGCGGTTATTTTGCTGGGGAATATTTCATGCTGCAATGATTTTAAAAACAAAACAAAATATACCTATATTTTTATTCATTTAGTATTATTTACTATAATGTAAATTGTAATACCTAATTTAAGAGATCTAGCAGTTTTTGTAATCATATTTTACTGTATTGTAGGTATTTTATTCAGTTATTCTTACCTTTAAGTCAGTACTATTGTCAACAGTCACGTTGATAGTTTCAACCACGGATGGCATAACCGCGGGCAATTTATCGTCTTTCTCGGTGACTGGTGACGCATCTTTATTATTCTTCTTGTTCTTTAGGTATTTAATAATTTATTCCCAAATAATTAACAGCCCAAAGAAGTGTAGAAGGATAATGTTAAAAAAATGCCAAAATGAAAAAAAAAAAAAATGAATTAACCTAAAATATTAATGATTTGAAGACTACAGCAAATAAAAATACAGTTAATATATTTAATACTAAAATTGTAATAATTTTTTATAAATATAAACAATTTATTGATTCTGGATAGAGCAAGACAACTTACAGTTTTGCAATAACACATTTTTTAAATTTACTAATACTTGTTTTTTTTTTTTTTTTAAAGAGAAAGAAATAGGATTAACTTCAACAAAATAACATTTTTCGTTAACCCAAACTTGCTCAGAATCGATTTATAAATGTAATAAGGATAAAACATTTATATTATAATTCAAATAATTAAAAATAATAATAATATTTCCAAATATTGGAACCACAGACCAAATATTTGTATTAATTTACCGATGATGGTAACAAAATTAGTTAATTTTAATCCAATACAAATAATAATTAATACAAACATTTAGGTCATATACAAATAATTATGCTTATAATTTTAAAATTGGACACAACTAAGCCATTAATGAAAATGGCCATCAATTATAATATGTTATATACTTTAAAGGAACTAACACTCATTACCTTATCTTCTTTGTCAAACTATTGGAGATAATAATAGATACATTATGAATCTTGTTATGACTGTTGTAATAATTCACAGTTTTACAATTAATAAGCTATTAATGCTACAGTAGAAAATTATTTCTAAGGGGATTGCAAACATACAATTTTAAGATAAATATGCTTATATTCATACAAGTCTTATAATGATGTGATAAGCCATAACTATAATGACAATTAATTTAAATTCCTTATCTTATTTTATTGAGAATGGTATTTCAAATTTTTAATGAAAATAAGCTCTATAATAATACATCAATCTATTTTTTATAATTATTTTCATATCAATTCAATTATGACGCTGTTGAAATGTACAAAGTTACTATTATTTATAACATGACAACACGGATTTGTAAAATAATCCTTTAAGTAAGACATATGAAATGTGTGGCCTATAATCAAAATTATTGGAAAATTAAGTGAAAAAAAAGAAAAACGAACAAATAAAGTAATATGTACTTTCTAAATGATAATTATTCTACATTTGTATGAAATGTTTTTTTTTTTGATAAGATTTTTGTGCGGCCAACATGTATACTATGTAAACTTGACTTTGTCAATACTTTAGATTTGACATGCCAGCTGTGATATGTGAATAACTTATAAAGGTATAATATACCTAGGCAGTAATTTTATATCGGGCAATAGTGTAGTAATTGGTACAATTTAAAAATGTTTAATGAATAGAAAATTAATCCAACACGGAACTTTTACGTAAAACAAAAACTGTGTTTATTCGTTAGTTTTTCTGAAAATTGTAATAATAAAACAAGTTATTTATCTCACATAATAAACAAAATGAAAAAAATTAATGAGAGAATTCACTCAGATATTTTTATCTTTATGTTTAGCGATTGAAAATGTATTCAGAATTAGAAACAAATCTTTAAACTTTGATTACGCCAAGGCCAAACATAAATTTACTGTATTCTATAATTGTAAAACGGAGACAACAAAGCTAATAGATACATCTGTTTAAGGGAGTATATAATAATATAACTTAGTAAAATTTAAGGTTATTTTACTTAAGTTGCATTATACAAATCTAAATACATTATTTAATCCACTTACTTGTAAAAAAAAAAAGATAATTTATAATTTTCAAAATAAGCAAAAACAAATTCATATAAGCTATTACGAGTTACGACTGCACAAAATAAAGAACAGATTTTTATTGTGTACCGGGGGCGCACGTACGCACTCTTTACGAAATTGCAAACAGTCATTATCTTCCGCCAAAATTTATCTAATAAGCACCAGAAATACTTATATTTTATAATTTGTTCAACATACATAAAGCATAGTATCATAGCTATTAGTTATTACATATTATTTAAGTAACTGTGTCTCATAAGCAATCTACCATCATTTTTGCGATATACCTGTAAAGCACATTGATGTTATTATGATCTAATATAGTTTTCCGATCAACCTAATTTAAGCTCGCTAGTCGATATATAATGTGATCAGAAATTAAATATGAAATAAAATATTTTTGATATACCAAAAAATTTAAATAATTTTACTAGTTCTATGTTGATTATTGGTATGTAAGCAGAATATAGAGTACTTATAACGTATTATAAAACAAAACTGTTCAATTTGAGACAGAAAGAAATACCTCTTTACTTGCAAGGAAATTGCAAAATGAATAGTGGAGACTTATACATCTACCAACAAATTTATGATCAACAGGTTTTATAGCGACATGAAAGCAATCTTTTGTAAGTAATTATATAGAAATAATTTTTTATAAAATAATAATTGATAAAAGCTACTTTAGAAATTTGAATGAATTATTCGTGTGTAGTTTTTGGTTGATCATTTACGATACCGTTACCGATAAATTGATTTTTGTTTCATCAAAAAGCTTGAAAATGTAATACAAAGTTTCATATTATGCAATAATATTCATACTAAAACCAAATATTAAAAACGAATAATTATTGTAAATACTTATAAAATTATAAGGACATTTTTATTTCATAGACATTGTAAATTCAAATTTTGTACTTTAACAAAGAATAAAGATTTTAGTTCTTTTGTTATAATTTAAAAATATAATTCATGTGTACATTAAACTTTTAACGTATGTATATTATTATTATATTTTATACATACATTGGAAATTTAAAACGCAATGTTTTTCAGCAACAATTAGTTCAGTCTATTACATTACTTTTAGTAAAATTATAAATTATTTAAATATCAATAAAAATATATGTATAGTAAAATAAACTTAGTAATATAGACTGATAGACCGTCTTCACTCAATATTGTGTTTCATATGCAATTATTTATCGTTGAATTTAAATTTAATACATACAAAATACTATATAGTAACTTACTGAATAACAAAAAACCTACCACAGACATAAAAAGAAAACGATTGATAACAGATAGAGATCCAGGGGCCAACATTAATAGAAAAATTTAAAATATAACATAGACTTAAGGTTCTATCATATGAACAGGTATAGACTATCTCTTTTTAATGATGTTGACTTTTGGCAACCATGGTTGCTACTGTAGTAACAAGGTATGTGGACGCGCAGTCCATACGTATACTATGTCTATGCAAGGAACATTCGACACCTACTGTACAGAAGTTATCTATTTCCCCTTTTCTTATTAGCTTTTCTCCGCTGTCAATTCAAAATTTTGGCTACTTCAATTGGACAGTAACTAGAAGCATATTTTTTACAAATAATAAACGTACGACAGCAAAAAAAATAATATATCTTTATACGCCCACATGTGTGCAAGTTATGCGTTTGATACCTGTGCACACACCCATTATAATCAATTAGAAGGCTTGAACGCACGTATTTTTCATGTTATCTATGATGAACTTTTTAAAAATGAACATAATTTGCAATCCCCTATAGTTTTATTAAATTTGGTGTCAAAGAACTAAAAGTATTCATTACGTAATATACTTATTTAAAATCAAAAAACTGGTTTTAGAGTTGTTTAAAAACCAAACATTTTCTATTTCTTTAATAATATTAGCTTTAGGTGGCAAGGATATATAAGATTGCTTAAATCTCAACCATTAGGATGAAACCCAAATATAGTTGATAATCCTATCCTTGAAGAATACGTTTAATTTTCAACCAAATACAAAAATAATAAGTAGTATAAATACTATAAATAGCAAAAAAAATAAAAATAAAATAAAAAATATAAAAATACTAATACATATAGAGATTATTAATTATATACACGGGAGACATCATATAAAAACCGTAAGTCTATGTACATCTATAAATAAATTTATTATAAATTAATTTAGATGTATGTATCAGGTATTTCCAATTGCAGAAAACAAAAAAAAAGGCAAATAAAAAAATATGAAGCATTTTGGGCAAACCACCTAGTCTATATTATATAGACTAGGGCAGGAATCCCCCCCCCCAAACTTGTTCCCAAGTTTTCACCTGCTCGCCAAACGAAAAATATTCTAAAAATATGTATAGTTTCCAAAGTTGTTATAGTGTGCAAGTGCAATTATCAGCTGTATCAACTGTAATTTATAAACTATATGCCGTGTTCATACATTTTGGTCTAAGAGCTTTTTTTATTTTATGTGGCCCTAGGATAAAAATAATTAGGAGATCCCTTGACTAGGGATGTACCCAAGGAGGGGAGTGTTTTAGATCTGGACCTCCCCTCATTGACTGACAGAATTAAAAATTCTCATTACTTGTTTACATGTTGTTAAATTTTAATCATACTTATACTTTTTATTTTACTAATTAAAGAGTTTATGAATCAAAATGTTTGTTGTTTTTTTAATGACATAATTTGTTTTAAACTTTTTAAATATTAAAAACCCCCTTCCTTTGAAAAATTTCTGGGTACATTCCTGCCATAGGCTATATAATAGATGCCTGAATCGGCGCTCATACTTGAAGCCAACTTTCATAACTCATAATAAACGTTGAACAATTTTTACAAACTGATGTTATCAATTTTAGTGATAACCAACAAAATTATAATAATTCAATTTAAATTCATATTAAAATAATACTTAAATTAAATGTAGACTGTAAAATATATACTAATGAAGTGAAAACTACATTATTGAATTTGTAATTATGTTATCACAATAATAAAGATAAAAAATTGTAAACTTTTTCCAAACTATTTAATTCAAAAATTTAAACACAGTAAAATATAGTCAGGCATCTAGTACATAGTATATATCTATGAAACAAACACATATTCAATTTGATGACCATAATTTATATTTAATTTAATGAAAAATAGCACAAGAATATTTAAAAAGTAAGCCAAGCATATAGATGTTTACACAAATCATAAAGGTGATCAATACAAGCTAAAAGCAATTAGAACAATAAGTAGAAATTTGCATTATTCACTTGTGTATAATTTTGCATTATTAAAATTTGAAAACCTATTCTTTTAATGCTTAAGTATATTTATAAATACGTATTAAAATATTTTTATTTTGAGTTCCACCGCAATTAACTCTCTAAAGTACTCAATAATATAACATAAATAAATATAGTACTTGGTACTTTCAAAGTCTTAACTAATAAGTAAAATTAGAGTTGATTAATTTTGATATATTTAAATTTATACATTATGTTAAAATGCATTTTATGATATTAATAGCAGCATTGATAAAAAATTATATTCATATTGATGAATGATTTTAAATTTTTAAAGAATAAATATAAATGATACTATAAAAGTAGATAAATTGATCAGGAGAGCTTTATTTATTTTGGATTACTAACTAGTTTTTATAAATTAACTCATAAAGTAAAATTATAAATAGAAAAATATTATGAATAATAAAAGTAGTCAGATGACATATAAATTTCAGAAACGGATAGATCATACACAAAATAAGATACTTTGATTGTAAATAAGTTTATTAAATATTTGAATAAGTAATTCTGAGCAAACAGTGAAAAGCTCACATACTACTGCGATACCAAAATATCGGTAAAAAGGATTTTATTGATTTAATAAGGTTCAAAAGCGGTATAGTACTTCATACTACATCTATTTTTAAACTTATGTTAAAATATGCTGTACAATTCATTTTCTAATAATAGATATTGGACCAATAACTTCTAAAATGAATGTATTGATTTTACAAAGTTTTTTTTTTTTTTGTGGTTGAAGAAAAAATTCTTTAATCTTCAATACTGAGGTAGATTAGAACATAATGAATTTAATTTGAACTTAAAAGTAGAAAATTTTCACAACTTACAAAACACTAATATTTTAATAATTTTTTTTTATTTATTAAAAATGTATAACCATAGACTTGAAATTGTTATCAAACATTCATATCACTATATCCTATACATAATTTTGATGAAATTAGAACAAAAAATAAGGTAAAATGAAAGTAATTATTTTGTGATTTAACAATTAATATTATTCGTTGGGGATTATTTTTGCAATTATTTGCATTAACTATACCCAACAACATTTTCAAAATGCTTAAATTTTATTGATATATAGGTGTTATAAATCTATTCATACTATTTAACTATATGTGGTATGCATCAATATTATTTTATCGTTATCACTACCTAATAATTAGAAAATGAATGACAATGACCATTATACAACACTCGTATATCGGTCCTGACTTTGCATATGTAATTATTTCATGAAAATTGGTGTAATTTATTATATTCATATAAATTATTTTCAGAAATATAAGTTAACAAAACCGTTTAAGCTCAAAATAGTTTTAAGTATACAATGATTTATCATTGAATTCAAATTTCATCATCGTGACTTACTCAATGACAAGGTATACTTAAAACTTACTATAGAGCAAAACGAGTTCTTTATTTTTTATTTAAATTAAACAAAGTTGATTAAATTTTTTTGTATTGTGTGTATGATATAATCGATTTAACTTTAGTATATATTTAATAGAGCTATGATTATTATTAGTTAAAAATTAAATTACCAAGCATTACATTTTATATAGCACCACTTTTATTAACACATATTAAATTTTAAAATAACATACACAAAAAAATAAAGTTGTTTGCCAAATTAAAGCTTTTTGATTATTTATAAATAAACCTTAATTATTACCTCATCATCTTTACGTCGTAAATTTGCTTGTACTTCTTCAAGTTCATCTTGTCCTTCATTAGGAGACATTTTGAACCCTTCTCTTAGCATTTTAAGTCCAAACACAGCAAACAAAGCTGTTGATATGTAGTAAGTGTATGCACGAGGTATAACTGTTGCTGCATATCCAAATAAAACTGCAAAATCAATAAAATATAATTTTCTTCAATAAAGTATCTAACATAAAATATTTCATATTAAATAGTATATTATTCACCTAGCATGCTCATCTTTTTTTTATCTTTGATCATTTGTTTATTAAATTCTAAGTTTTGTAATTTTTAAGGGAATATATCTCTTATATAATTAGTGTTTGATGAAGATAAGAAACTATTGTTTTTAAAATGAGAACCATTCTTTTTTACTTTAAGTTGTAAAATAAATATAAATATTAATTAACATTTGGAGTATTAGTTTTTTAGTTATTAAACTTTTAGTACAAGATCAAATAATCAGAACCATAGCTAATGGCACAAAAGCCGAAATCAAATATGCTTATATTATTATAGATAATAATAGTATGCATTTTATTAAAAATTCATGAGGACAGAAATATGTTAAATGGCCAAAAACATTGATGGACATTGCTATAGCTCTGCTAAGGATAATCGTACATAATACTAGATTTATTTTTAATTAAAATAATTATACTAAATACCAATTATAATTTTTTAATAGTTGAGTATAATAATAATAATAAAATAAAACATAATATGTACTATGATAATTAGAGTGACTAAATTTTCTATCTCTTTTCTATTTTAAGTAAAATCATTATATTATTCCTCCTATTATTCTGAATAGTTGAAATAATAAATTTAATAACTGAGGAAATATTTATTTGAATTTTAGTTTAGAATATTAAGATTTTTAAAAAATCAAATAGATTATTTGCTTACTTTAAAAACTGTTCTCATTATAAAAACAGAAGTTTTTATTATCATCAGAATATTGTCTTTATGTAAATACACTTAATTCAAAAATTTAGAATTTAAATAAATGCATCTTTTAAGGATAAAAGGATTGAGCAGGTTTGATGAATCACCTTATAAATAATATACAATTATTATGTTAACAGTTTTACTTCTAAATACTGTATGTCATTAAATAACAAAACTATATAAACAATTAAAAATGTCAAAACTTTCAATGTTAGCATTTGAATATGGTTACTAACAAAGAATAATAGCATTGAATTTAAATAAGTATATCGATATTTACCAATGGTAATAGATACCTATATATTTGTTTTTTTATAGTACCTACATATTTGTTGTTAATACAGTATTATACACTATACAAATATTACACAGTTTTAGGTATACCTATAGATAATAAAAAACTTTTTAATAGATATGTTATTATATTCTTTCATTATTTAATAACACAAATTTTAATTATTTAAAAACAATGAAACAATTGCTACTAAATACAATAGTTTTATCAGTTAAAAAAAAAAAAATATATATAAATAACAATGAACATTAAATTATTAAATTTTTTTATTTTAATACTTAGTAGGCTAGTAAGTATTTAATTTATGGGTTTTTTTTTTTTTTAATTAAAACAACAAATAAGTATAACTAGAGTACTTATATATGTATAACTAGAATTATTTAAAATCTTGTAGATTTAAAATTTTTTGTTTTAGGTAAGCTAGGTATATCAGTTTTTAAAATTAATAACAGTGGCATAACTAAGAGAATGCTATAAACGAGGCTATAAATTTATTTAATTTTTTTTTTATTTTGCATTCCAATCTTATCATAATAACAAAAATTATGTTTTGGGCATAATTACATATTACATGTTATATATATATATATCATATTCATTTAAAAGTATAAGATCAGATAAAGTATTTAACAAGGTATTTTAGGAGTTATAGTAGTTGAAATTAAATTGCATAGAATTTCATAGAATTACATTAGAGATGAACTGTTTAGTTTCCTATTATTAACAACAATTATTAAGTTTTATTTAAATTGAAAAAAAAAATTCTTAAGACGACTAGTGTTATTAGACATTTTATGAACTATTTACAATACCATTCATTAATCATCATAAGGTACATGATATTATATAAATATACAAAAATATATGTTTTGTAAATTTTTATTTTAAGATGTTATAGCAAAGTGGTGTCACTGAACGCTTCCTTCCCTCACGTCAACATGTCTAGTACTAAATTTTTCTAATTTACTTATTGTTTTATTATGTAAACAGATTGTAAATGTCTTTTATAATAAAAAAGAAAGAAAGAAAGATGTTATAACACATTTTTATATTGCCTAATAAGTAATAATAAAAATTTAGTAAACATTACATAATTTTAAAATATTAAATGTTTGAATTTTAGTTGTGTCTTTATCTTATAAAATAAATTTATAAAGAAGGTGATTGGGTGTGGATACATAATACTATGGTAATACCTATTATACAGATAAATGTAAGAAAAAATTTAATTTACAACTTTTAAGACTCAAGAATAAATTAAAAAATTAAAAACGTAGGTAACTAAGTACTGATCATTCAATACAACACTAGGGCTATGAATAAGCCTATGTAAATAAATAAATTTTATATTTCTATACATAAAAGCTAATGAAGTAGGTACTTAGAAATTATTTAAAGATATAAAATAAAAAATATAGGTATTACCTGATAAGACGGTCATAAGTGCAAGAGCAGATATGGCACCAGTGAACACAGTTATTCTTGAATGTCGCATGGCCATAATAGCAGCAATGAAAAATGTCTTGTCGCCCAACTCTGAGACAATTATCATAGAAAGTGATGCGACAAAGGCATGTACCAATCCCAAAGAAACAGTGGGTGTATGTTTTGTCGTCTGCTCAGAATTCAACGCATCGCCAATGTCTGGTACCATTGTAGGCAGTAGATCGTCATTTTCGTCCACTGGGAGTGAACTGGATGTGGTCGCGGCTATTAGGACCACAAACAGCACACTGACTTTTGCAAACATTGTGTTTGATACGAAACTTTACCAGCACAGTCAATAAGTTACAAAATAATGATGAATACACCCAACAACGAGTCGAGCATATATGTCAACGGTTGACGGAACACCAATTTCACATAGTTAAAATCAATATACCTATATAAGTACTAATTGATTTTTGGCAACTACGAGTGAAAGAACGAACTCAAAACCGTCGGTACAAAACGAAATAATATATTATTGCACACGCGCAGGTACCTATTATAAAGTAGTCACAATTAAAGCAACGTTACCGACAGTACCTGACGGCAATAACAATATTATGATTTATGACGGAGAGTAGAAAAAAGTTAAATAATTCCGAGAAAAAAATAATGCTCGGCTAGAGAACACAATTGAAATTACGCGCTCAACACGACACACGTCCAACAATTGACGCGCCATCACCGCAATTAACGGAGTAACGAGCGTTCGGCATTCGGTAGGCTCGACGACGACGGCGGGCGGTTAGGGGTTACGTATAGTGTTAACCCGCGATAGAGCAAAGAGCGGCGTGCTGCGTTATACAGCGGTTGCTCGACGATGACGATGGTCGATGACGTTCGTCGATTGGCCGTCGGTGCGCGAGTGACCGTGTGCGCGGTTCGGTCCGGGGCGTCGGGCATTCACGTGAACGGCACGCTACCAGTTACCACTACGACCGTACAACTGCGAACGGGCCGGTCGACGGTGATTACCGCAGTCCGCACGACGTTAGTACGTTATCGCACTCGCGTGCGATGCGGGATGAGAGAGAAGTGGCGAAGAAAGAAAAGTAGCGACTACCGCGAAGAAACTAGAAAGAGTAGAAAGCGACGAACGCCGTCGCCATGGCCCGTGGTCTGTTCTCGCGGCGCTCTGTACAGTATTGTATATTATTATTTATTATAATAAATAATAATACTAATTTTTAATACGTTGCGATATCGACGTGTTGACTCGCCGTACCGCGTTGTATAGTAGTCAGAAGGTATTTTTAATCGTAACATATTTTATGTAGATAATATTTATGTTGTTTAACACATTTTTGTATTCCGTCCCACCACTGTTTCGTTTCAAACGTTCAACTACAATTTAATAGTATGGTATATTTGTTCGGTGTTTGACGTTGACATTTGCATAGCTGTTGTATAACAATATAGGTACATCACAAAAACAGTATTATACGTCAAGTTGATGTGCAGTGTGCACCTACCTATCTGTTAAAACGGTTATCAGTAGTCAACAATTCTCGGGAGCCGGTAATTCCCCACTCGGATAGGTAACTGTCAGTAATACATTGATAAGCTACTAGTACTCGACTAGAACTTTTGACTTATTAACGAGAACACTCGAGACTCTACAGCCTAAATTGTGTATGAACGAGCACGTCTAGAACAGGCCCGTAAGGCGTGCAGTGTGAAGCTCAAAATTCAAATACCCCGTTTAAAACTAAGGCACTTGACTACTTTAGTGACTTAATATCTAACTTGAATTCGAATAGTATTTAGTGGCGGGTTCAAGAGTATCCCTCCCTTCGAAAGTTATATTACCTATATTTGTAATTTTAAGAATGAGTTAAAAATATTTCAATTCATTGATTCAAATATTTTTTATAAGTTATAAATTGAATTATTTATTCTTTTAAATTTTTCATGTTAGAAAAATTAGATTTATATTATATTTTAAGCCTTTCAACTTTCAAGGCCTAACATCAAATCCTAAATATTGTATTTATAAAATTAATATGAAAAATTTTGGTCCCTCCTAAAAAAAAAAAAAATTTTAAATTCCCCACTAATAGTGTTAAATATTTATATTGTTGTTTAACGCTATCTACGAAAATATGCCAACCACGGGTATATACAATTTTAATATATAATTAATTATTTTACATTTATACATTATACTTGTAGCACAAGCTGGTACAATAATTAAATAATACATATTACATTATTTTATTATTATAAAACTTTCGCTGTCGGCCAATGAAATGTATCGTTCGTAAGACGACATTAATTTTTATTGTTACCACGGTTGTAGAAATATAAAAGTTTATCCACAACCTCGGTTGTAACTTAGTGGACGTTATCCATCGATAATACTTTACCATCAGCTGTGATGATAACGTGTTGAACATAGTTTTCACAGATGACATAACGTCAAAACTGAAAACAGTGAAAACACTGAAAACATACATTGGCTTTTTAACGATAGTCGATGACACAGTGTTTAAATTTATAAAAATTATTTTTGTTTTTATGGATGTTATGACTTATGAGATACTTTAGATAACTATGTAAAATATTTAAATTTAAATATTATTTAACAGCAAATGTAAATTCACAGATAGATATTGTTCTTTATATTAAGTTTGATAATATGTAGTCAATATATCTATATATAAATGTATAAATAACCAAGAGTCAAAATATTTTAAAATTAAAGTTATCATGCATTGAAAATAATAATATGAATATTTTTTATATATGTCAAGTATTTATGGTTATTCGTTTTTGAAGTTACATTAAAACAAAATTATTGATGATAAACCGTTAGTTAATGTGTGAATATTCTTTTTCGTCAAAATTATAACGATAAAAAAAATATATTATTATTTTTTAAATACATGAATAATAACTTATTAAATACTAAGTCTATTAAACACTTTGTTAATTATATTCATGCTAGTCCGGTAATTATAATAATTAATAAGTATGTATTAATTAAAATTTGTTAGAGTATATTTTTTAACTAAGTTGATAGTATTTATTTACAAATAATAATAATAATTGCCGAATTTGTATTAATTTACAAAATATTTAATAAAATATTATCCTGAGTATATTTAAAGTAGAATACTTTGAAACTTTTCATTCAAATTTTCTATTACAATACGTTAATATTTTTAGAAAAATTCTTTAGTTCACAACTTGCTTTAAAAATTAAAATATACAGATTTTCATTTAAAGTACCAAAATTGATAACACCATATAATACTCCTTAAATCTCGTGAAAAATTTAAGTATTTTTAAATAACGTTAAAACTATACTTCAAAAATCCAAAAATCTAAATTTTAATATAAGTATGATTTAAATATAAAAATTAGAAGAGCATGCTTAAAAAATCATATTATATATACCCGCAGTTAAAAGACAACAACGAAAGTATTTCAAGTA